GCGCGTGTCTCCTGCGGGGCGGCCGGGTGGGCTGGGCCTCGGTGCGCGCGGGGCCGCCAGCCCGCCCCCCCGCCGGGGCAGCCCCGCCCCCAGCCCGCCCCCGCCGGGGCAGCCCCGCCCCCAGCCCGGGCAGCCCCGCCCCAGCCCGCCCCCCCCGCCGGGGCACCCGCCCCCAGCCCGCCCCCGCCGGGCAGCCCCGTCCCCAGCCCGCCCGCCCGGGGCCAGCGGGCACTCACGCGGACGGCGGCCTGGCACGCGGCCAGCGGCAGCCCCACGAGGCTGCTGCCGTTGAGGGCGGTGAGGCGGTCGCCGATGCTCAGGGCCCCGCAGCGCTCGGCCGGGCCGCCGTGCCGCAGGTTGGCGATCACGGCCGTGGGCAGCAGCGAGCCCCAGCCGGACTCCACGAGCGCCAGGCCCAGGCCCTCGCCCGGGCGCTTCTCGATGCGCACCTGCGGGAGGCACGGCGGGGCTGGGGGCGGCCGCCTGCGGGCCGGGAGGGGCGCGCTCCCGCGCAGGGGCAGTTTGGGGGGGGCGGGGGAGCGCGCTCCCGCGCAGGGACACTGGGAGGGGCTGGGGGCCGGGGGAGCGCGCTCCGGCACAGGGGCAGTGCCGGGCTGGAGCGGGGCGCGCCCCCGCGCGCGCTCACCTCCCGGCAGTTGTCGCTGTTGGAGAAGTGGTCCAGGTCCCCGTTATGCAGGTGGCCCGCGCTGGCGGCGGCGGCGCTCGGCCGGGTGCCCACCTGGCTGGGGTCGACGCCGTGTTCCCGCAGGAACTGGCTGTAGGCCACGGCGAAGGCCTGGCCGATGGCCTGCGCGACCAGCTGGGCCTGCGGGCAGAGCAGGCGTCCCTGGGGCGTCCCCCCGCCCCCCATCTGGCCCTCGGAGCCCTGGGCGGGGCCCCCGCTGGGCCGGCAGACGAGCGCGCGTCTGGGTCAGCAGGCTCCTAGCACCCTTCAGCCCGGCCTCCAGGCCCCTCCCCCACCCCGCCCACCGAGCAGGCACAGCTGGCTTCTAGAAGCTTCCCCCGCCCCACCGGCGGCCGCTCACGTCCTCCGAGTGGAACACGTGGCACACCATCCTGTAGGCGGGGCGCTCGCGCTCCCGCGGCCCCGCGCCCCGCGCCAGGCGCCGCCGCACCATGAGCACCAGCAGGTGGCCGATGTCCGCCACGTAGGAGATGGTTTGTAGGGCGTGGTCCATCAGGGCCTCCTGGGGCGGACACGGGGCAGTCAGCCACGAGCCGCCCACGCCGCCCCGGGCGGGGTCCCCGCCACCGGGGGTACCTGCGACTCGGCCGTCAGGACCTTGATCCTCTTGGTGGACACGAAGAGGTCCACCTCAGTCATGGGCTGCGTCTCCCCGTCGGGGGCCTGCAGGACGCGGGCGGGAGCGGTGGGCGCCCCAGACGCCACCCACCCAGGCCGCTCCCGGCCGCCCCTGCGTCCCCGCCTCACCTTGACGCGGTCCACGGCCTCCTGGGCCTGGGCCATGCGCGTGCTGGGGGGCGGGTTCCGCTCGGACAGCAGCTGCGTGGAGCCCAGGTATTTGGCGCCGAAGAGGACGCCGTCCAGCAGGTCCTCGTGGTCACAGGGCCCGGGCCCTGCGGGCAGCAGCGAGCCGAGGGTCAGCTCCGCCCAGGCCCTCCCCCACCCTGGGGCTGTGCACCCACTCCTCCAGGGCCCTGGCCGCGCCGCGGGCCCCCCGAGGGACTGGGACCAGCCTGCTCCTGCTCCTAGAACCCACGAAGTCAGCCCAGAGCCCCCAGGGCCAGCCGACTCCGCACGGGGCCTAGAATTCTCTGCTCAGCAGGCCCACGGGCCGCTCCTGTCCCTGGTGGACACCTGCCCGGTCAGAGCTGCAGCAGTCCAGCCGCCCCGGCTGGGCCTGGGACGTCGGCGGTTCCAGAGGCCGGGACACGCCAGGCACGCTGCCACGCCCTCACCCACACCTCCAGAGGCTCCACCACACTGACCACGCCCCATCTCATCACAGTCTCTCACGCTGACCACGCCTCCCCACCCCATCAATCAGAGCCTCTGCCATGCCGACCACGCCCCCGCGGCGGCCCCAGTCCAGCTCAGGACCACATGAAGCTTTGGCTCCGAGCTTCTAGAACTCCCAGGCCAGCTAGAACCAGACGGCTCTGCCAGTCGTGGCACAGTGCTCCAGCCCCTGCAGGATGTTCCAGCACGTTCTAGGCGGTGGCAGCTGCTCTTGGGTGCAGAATCCTAGCTCTGGGCACCCAGGGGGAAAACTGGAACCACAGCCCCTGCAGGGTTCCGGCGTGACACCCTGGCCACAAGGCCCGAGCCCAGACTGCAGCCGAACGCCGGCGGACCTGCAGACAGCTCCGCGCCAAGGAGACCCTTCCCCACGTCCGCCTGGGGGTGGCGCTGTGGTGCGCTCGGCTAATGCCTGCAGTGCTAGGGTGCTGCCTGGGGTGGCGCTGTGGTGCGCTAGGCTGATGCCTGCAGTGCTAGGGCACCGCCTGGGGGTGGCGCTGTGGTGCGCTCAGCTGATGCCTGCAGTGCTAGGGCGCCGCCTGGGGTGGCGCTGTGGTGTGCTCGGCTGATGCCTGCAGTGCTAGGGCACCGCCTGGGTTGGCGCTGTGGTGCCCTGATGCCCACAGTGCTAGGGCGCCGCCTGGGGGTGGCGCTGTGGTGTGCTCGGCTGATGCCCGCAGTGCTAGGGCGCCGCCTGGGGGTGGCGCTGTGGTGCGCTCGGCTGATGCCTGCAGTGCTAGGGCGCTGCCTGGGGGTGGCGCTGTGGTGCGCTCGGCTGATGCCTGCAGTGCTAGGGCGCCGCCTGGGGTGGCGCTGTGGTGTGCTCGGCTGATGCCTGCAGTGCTAGGGCGCCGCCTGGGGGTGGCGCTGTGGTGCCCTGATGCCTGCAGTGCTAGGGCGCCGCCTGGGGGTGGCGCTGTGGTGCGCTCGGCTGATGCCTGCAGTGCTAGGGCGCCGCCTGGGGTGGCGCTGTGGTGCGCTCAGCTGATGCCTGCAGTGCTAGGGCGCCGCCTGGGGTGGCGCTGTGGTGTGCTCGGCTGATGCCTGCAGTGCTAGGGCACCGCCTGGGGTGGCGCTGTGGTGTGCTCGGCTGATGCCTGCAGTGCTAGGGCACCGCCTGGGGTGGCGCTGTGGTGTGCTCGGCTGATGCCTGCAGTGCTAGGGCACCGCCTGGGTTGGCGCTGTGGTGCCCTGATGCCTGCAGTGCTAGGGCGCCGCCTGGGGGTGGCGCTGTGGTGTGCTCGGCTGATGCCCGCAGTGTTGGGCGCCGCCTGGGGGCGGCGCTGCGGTACCTGGGTGGATGCCCGCATCAGCGCGGTGGGGTCCCGGCGCCCGGCTCCTCACCAGCTCCCGCTAACACAGGCCTGGGGGCGGCAGCGCCGGGCCCTGCACCCATGCAGGAACCCCCGGTGAAGCTCCTGGCTTCAGCCTGCTCCAGCCTGGACACTGCAACCATTGGGGGATGACCCAGCGGGTGGAAGACCCCTCTCTCTGCCTTTCAAATAAATATTTTAAAAAACGTGGAAAACTAGAACGTTTAAAACCGTCTGTCGTATTTTTTTTTCGGCCGAGACTGGGCCAGGCCAAAGCCAGGAGCCAGGAGCTCCGTTCTGGGCTCCGGCGCGGTGCAGGGCCCCCAGCACCCGGGCCCTCACCGCCGCCTCCCAGGGCACAGCCAGGGGCTGGGCGGGAAGTGGAGCAGCCGGGACCTGAACCCGCGCTTGGACGGCTCCACGCGGCATCACGGCGCCCGCCCCGCCACGTCCTAGTCACCTGTAGCACTATTCTAGAACACTCCGCCGGAGTCGGGGCGCGCCGCACGGTTCTCAATGCCTCCAGCGGTCTGGAGGAGGTGCAGAGCCGGCCAGCCCTGTCCAGGCCCCGGGGCCTTGCTGGGACCGGGGCAGCCGCCCGTCCTGAGCCCGGGGGAACAGCTGTGCTGCCTGTGGGCCGGGGTCTCTGCTGAGCGACAGCCAGGTTGCTTAGCAACAGGGACACACGTCGGTGACGTCATCGTCACGGGGAGGACCCGCCCCACGGAAGTCCATGCAGTCCCGGGGACCCCTCTCGCGGGTGCGGCCCTGGGCCCCAACGCTGTTCTGATTTTTTCCCCGCAGTGACAAACGCAAAATCCAGGGCAGGGGGTTGGCCTGGAGGTGAAGCTGCCGGCTGGGACGCCCTCGGCCCACATGGCTCGGCCCGGGTTCGAGTCCCGGCTCCACGTCCGGTCCAGCTCCCCGCAGGTGCACAGCCCGGGAGGCCCGGATGGAGGGAGCTGCAGGCTCCCGGCTTCGGCCTCGACCAGCTGCAGACTTCCGGGGGCGGGGGGGGGGGGAACCTGCCCCTCCACGGCATCTTCTCTTAAAAAGGCCCCAGGGTGCACCTGCTGCAGTCCCGCCCCTACTGGCTCCAGCACACCCCGCACGGCCCCCTCCCCGCCCCGGAGTCCGGAGTCCGGAGCCCCTCTCCCAGGACCCTCAGGACCCCCTCGGGGCCCGGACTCACCCTCGGGGAGGGCGGGGAATGACGCCAGGCTCTCCGGGCTCTGGAAGACAGAAAGCTGCGTGCCCGGCTCGGGCCCGCTGGACGGGGCGGGCGGCTCCTCGGGCCGCACCAGGGGCGCCGTCTCCAGCCAGGGCTCTGGGGAGCTGCCCGAGCTCCGGCTGCCGCCCTGCTCCGCGGCCTCCGTCCACTCCGGCGGGGCGGGCTCCCCGGGGCGCCGGAGCAGGTCGTCCCGGTCCGCCTCGGCCGACGGGAGCCCGTGCACGTCGGCCGTCCCCAGCGCCGCCTGGCCGTGGCCCGTGGCGACGTGCGCTCCGCCGGTGCGCGGCTCCCCCAGATCACCCGGCAGGGCCTCGAGCCGCCGCGCCAGGTCCGGCACGGCTGACCCGGCCGGTGCCGTGCGCCCGGGGCTGCTGGGGCCTCCCCGCACGGGGTCCCACGGGGCGTCGGGAGTCTCCGGGGGCTCCTCCAAGGCCATGGCTGGGGGCCCTGCGGGGGGCTGCGGGGCTGCCAGGAACTCCATGGCGGGACCCCGGGCTCAGGCCGGCACCTGCATCAGGCTGCAAGGTAAAGACGGACACGCAGGCGTCGTCGGGGTCTGCCTGGGCCCCACGGAGCAGGACTGAGCCCTGGGACCCCACTTCATAGAGACCCACTGCGCAGAAGGGACAACTGAGACACACGCCGGCCCTTTAAAGGGCTCTGCTCAGGCCAGCCTGGGACACTCTGAGTCACCTCCTCTTCCCCCGTGAATCGGAATCCGGGGCGACCCCAACGCCCCCGCACCCAGAGGTGTCCGGGACCCCAGCCCCCACGACCCCCAGCCCAACGCTCACACCGCAGCCCGAGACTTCGGACTCAGAACCCCCAGGCCTCATAGCAGGCACCCGGGACACCACGGGGCAGCACCCGGGACACCACCGGGCAGCACCCGGGCTCCGAGCCGCCCCCGCCACCCCACGATCCACGCAGACCCCTGACCCCAGGCGCCCAGCTCGCCGGGACACTCACTGCCCAAAGCGAGGCCGACTCCGCCGAACACGGCCCCACCGGGAGCCCGCGCTCCCGGCCCGCCCTGGCTTACGCCGGGTGTCCCCAGCCGCCGCCGCCGCTTGTCCACTCCCGGCCGGGTCGCCGGCAGATCGGTCCTGGCGGCACCCGTGCCTACTGCGCATGCGCGGCGCCGCAGGGCCTGCTGGGACATGTAGTCCTCGCGTGCCGCCTCGCGTCGCGGGTTCTAGTCCTGCAGTGGACGCTCGGGGCTGACCTCGCTGGGCTGTTGGGACCCCGGGCCCGCTGCTGACGGACTTCCGGCCAGCTCGCAGTAGACAAAATGACGCGCCCGGCCGTGTCGGCCTCGAGCCTGCGCTTGCTTCCTCACGCACGCGGTAGAAGCGGCGGCCGCCCCTCACTGCCGACATTACCCGTCGACCCGCGGGCTACACGTCCAGCCGCGGGTTTTGGGCATTCACGTCAGGAGTACACAAGGCGCGTTTCCAGGAAATGATGGGGAACTAAATACAGGCAATGTCCGCCATCCAGGGTACGTCTACCAACGTTCAAAGATGCCACAGTGCGGACACAGCCGGCCCGAGCCCGGGAAGACTACATTTCCCAGGAACCTCCAGGGGCCTACAACTCCCAGGCAGTCGCTGGGCAGTGACATAACCGGAAACGCGCACGGGCAAGCACTCGGCATACGTCATGGCGGCCAGAAGCCTGTTCGGGGCTACCCGGACCTGGGCCTGCTGGGGAGTGCGAGCGCTCCCAGGTCCCGTCGCCCCTGAAAACCTCGCGGTCCGGGGTTATGCCAAGAAACCAGGTGAGCCGGAGTAAACCGGGACCGAAATGGGGCCGGTGCGCACACGGGGAGATGGGTAGTGCGCAGGCGCCGGCTGAGGAGGTGTGGCCTGGGCGGCAGAGGCGGGGCCCCTGCGCAGGCGCAGTGCGAGGCGCCGCTCGGAGCGCCGGCGTCGGCCTCCTGAGGGAGCGGTTGGACGCAGTGCGCAGGCGCCACCGGCAGTGCGTGACCGCGCAGGCGCAGTATGGGGGGAGCGCGGCGAGTTCGCCGCCGGAAGTTCTGGGTGAAGCGAGGTTACGAGGAGGTGGCTGGACGCGGCCCGCCGGAGCGCCGAGGCTGAGGGGACGCGGTGGCCGCTGCGGGAGGGGTCCGCTCTGAAGGGAGTGCTCGAGGTCACGTGTGCGGACTTTGGGCGTGGCGTGCGACGGGGCACCTTGGCGTCAGCGCGCATGCGCATCCGGAGGACCCGGATGGAGCGCCCGGTGCTGATGGCCGAGGGCACCTGGGGGCGTGGCCGCTCTTCCTGTCGCTTTCAAATAAACTAATTTAAAAATCATTTAAGTAGGAAAAATCCCTCCAGAGGTGCGGGGCGGGGAGGTGACCGCTGGCCCGGGGGCGGGCGGCGCGGGTCCGGGAGGTGTCCGCGGGACAGGTGCGGGGCGGGCCCGGGAGGTGTCCGCGGGACAGGTGCGGGGCGGGCCCGGGAGGTGTCCGCGGGACAGGTGCGGGCCGGGGAGGGAGGCGGCGCGGGCCCGGGAGGTATCCGCGGGACAGGTGCGGGGCGGGGAGGGAGGCGGGGCGGGCCCGGGAGGTGTCCGCGGGACAGGTGCGGGGCGGGGAGGAAGGCGGGGCGGGCCCGGGAGGTGTCCGCGGGACAGGTGCGGGCCGGGGAGGGAGGCGGCGCGGGCCCGGGAGGTATCCGCGGGACAGGTGCGGGGCGGGGAGGGAGGCGGGGCGGGCCCGGGAGGTGTCCGCGGGACAGGTGCGGGCCGGGGAGGGAGGCGGGGCGGGCCCGGGAGGTGTCCGCGGGACAGGTGCGGGCCGGGGAGGGAGGCGGCGCGGGTCCGGGAGGTGTCCGCGGGACAGGTGCGGGGCGGGGAGGAAGGCGGGGCGGGCCCGGGAGGTGTCCGCGGGACAGGTGCGGGCCGGGGAGGGAGGCGGCGCGGGTCCGGGAGGTGTCCGCGGGACAGGTGCGGGCCGGGGAGGGAGGCGGCGCGGGTCCGGGAGGTGTCCGCGGGACAGGTGCGGGCCGGGGAGGGAGGCGGGGCGGGCCCGGGAGGTGTCCGCGGGACAGGTGCGGGGCGGGCAGGGAGGCGGCGCGGGTCCGGGAGGTGACCGCGGGACAGGTGCGGGCCGGGGAGGGAGGCGGCGCGGGTCCGGGAGGTGTCCGCGGGACAGGTGCGGGCCGGGGAGGGAGGCGGCGCGGGTCCGGGAGGTGTCCGCGGGACAGGTGCGGGCCGGGGAGGGAGGCGGGGCGGGACCGGGAGGTGTCCGCGGGACAGGTGCGGGCCGGGGAGGGAGGCGGCGCGGGTCCGGGAGGTGTCCGCGGGACAGGTGCGGGCCGGGGAGGGAGGCGGCGCGGGTCCGGGAGGTGTCCGCGGGACAGGTGCGGGGCGGGCAGGGAGGCGGCGCGGGTCCGGGAGGTGACCGCGGGACAGGTGGGGGCCGGGGAGGGAGGCGGGGCGGGACCGGGAGGTGTCCGCGGGACAGGTGCGGGCCGGGGAGGGAGGCGGCGCGGGTCCGGGAGGTGTCCGCGGGACAGGTGCGGGGCGGGCCGGGAGGTGTCCGCGGGACAGGTGCGGGCCGGGGAGGGAGGCGGCGCGGGTCCGGGAGGTGTCCGCGGGACAGGTGCGGGGCGGGCAGGGAGGCGGCGCGGGTCCGGGAGGTGACCGCGGGACAGGTGCGGGCCGGGGAGGGAGGCGGGGCGGGTCCGGGAGGTGTCCGCGGGACAGGTGCGGGCCGGGGAGGGAGGCGGCGCGGGTCCGGGAGGTGACCGCGGGACAGGTGCGGGCCGGGGAGGGAGGCGGGGCGGGCCGGGAGGTGACCGCTGGCCCCGCCGGCGCTGATCCGCCCGCCCCCTCCGCAGTCACCAAGGCGGGCAAAGGCGGCGCGGCGGGCGAGGCCCTGCGGGACCCCGAGGTGTGCACCGACCCCGAGCGGCTCTGCACGCACGCCATGGGCGTCAACATCTACAAGGAGGGCGCAGACGTGGCCCTGAGGCCGGATGCCGAGTACCCCGCGTGGTGAGTGCCCGGCGCCAGTGTTGCCAGTGTTCGCTGTGCAAGCGTTCATTGCGCGTTTATTGAGTGTCCCCCGCGGGGCCGACCCTCCCCCAGCTCAGGGCCGCGCCCGGGGCGGGCTGCCCCCTGCCCGCGCCCCCCACCCCGGGCTGACCCCGCACCCACCCTGGCCCTGACCCCGCATCCAGACTGAGCCTGGCCCCGCCCCCACCCTGACCCCGCCCCCAGGCTGAGCCTGGCCCTGCCCCCTAGCCTGACCCCGCCCCCAGGCTGAGCCTGGCCCCGCCTCCAGCCTGACCCCGCCCCCAGGCTGCCCCTGCCTTCCCCCAGGCTGACCCCCGCCCCCTGCCTGACCCCGCCCCCAGGCTCTTCGAGATGCACCTGGGCGCCCCCTGGCGGCTGGAGGAGCTGGACCCCGAGACCCGCGCCTACTGGCGGCTGCTGCGGAAACAGAACATCTGGCGCCACAACCGGCTGAGCAGGAGGAAGACGCTGTAGGGCGGGGCTCCGCGGGGCGGGGCTGCGCGGGGGGCGTGTCCCGGCTCTGTGTGGGGGCGCCGGCCCAGTAAAGCCGCTGGACGCTGAGCTCCGCGCCGTGGGTGCTGTCCGCGCTCCCCTGGGCGCCACCGGGCCTTTCGGGCGAACGGGGGTCCCAGGGCTGGGGGCCGGGCCGGGCTGGCTCTCTCCAGCTGTTTCCGGATCCTTCCTCCTCCCGGGTGGGGCGTGACGGCCACGTGCAGAGCCCGCCCGCGCGCCCGGCCCAGGTGCCCCCACTGTGTCAGGGGCGCCCCAGACCCGCCCCTCGCCGAGACCTGAGCCCCTCCAGTCGGGGACGTGGGGCGGGGGCGGGGTCCTGAGGGCCTGGAGCCCCCGGGGGGCGGTCCCCTGGCGGGGGGCGGGGCCAAGCGCAGGTGGCCCTGGCGGATGAGACCCCCGCGGCCGCGTCCTCCTCTTGGGGAGGCGGCGCCGATTACCGCGTCTGGCCGCCTGCGACCGCCGCGCGCCGGCCCTGGCCTGTTTCTCCGCTAGGGAGCGAGCCCGCCGCACACAGCTGCCCAAGGGCTGGGCTGGGGCGGGCACATGGGGGGCGGCCCTGAGCGGGGGCGAGAAGCAGAGGGGTCCGGGGTCCCGGCCACGGCAGGAGCCCACCGCTTGGGTCCCCTCTGCCGGGGTGGGGGAGGGCTTGCCTACGGCTGCTGTCCCCGGGGCGCCCGCTTCAGGCCGGCGGCCAGGCCCTGTCCAGCGCCTGCGCGTGCTCCTTGGCCAGCAGCCTCAGGGACGCCTCCTCCAGCGCGAAGCCGTCCACCAGGCCTGGCCCCAGGGCGTGCGCCCCCAGCGGCACCTGCAGCCCCAGGCCGGGGCCCAGCAGGCGGGGCAGACCCGGCATGGCCGCGGGCGCGGGACCCAGCCAGGGCTCGGAGGGCAGCAGTGCGGCGGGGGGCCGGGCGAACTGCAGTGCTGGGGCCTCGGGGGGCCTCGGGGCTGCCACGGCTCCGGAGCCGGACTCCAGGCGCTCTTGGCGGTACCACTTGGTTCGGCGGTTCTGGAGCCACACCTGGGGGGGTGGCAAGGGGCTGCTGAGAGCGCGGCCCCCTCCTCGCCACTGCACCGGCCCTGGGGACCCCGGCAGACCCGCCCCAGAGGGCCCCACCCCGCTGCTGCTCACTCTCAGGCCAGCTGCTCACCCGCGGCCCCGCGGCCCCCATCCGTCCCCCCCACCCCGTCGCCGCACCCAAACTTGGCCGGGACCCCCAGCCTCAGGCCCGGGTCTCCAGAAGCCCGAGGCGGGCGTCGGTGTCTGCAGACACCTCCTCCCTGCCCCGGGCGTCGGGGCGGGGCCGGCCTCACCTGCACACGCACCTCGGGCAGGTGCACCTCGGCCGCCAGCTCCTCGCGGCTGCACACGTCGGGGAAGGCCCGCTCCAGCTGGTGCAGCTGGTGCGCCGTGAAGGTCGTGCGCTCCGGCGCCGCTTCCGGGGGGCTTCCTCGCCCGGCCCCGCCTCGGGCGCCGGCCCCTCCCCCGCGCTCAGGAACATGGCGCCCCGCCTGGCGGGTGGGCAGCCGGAGGGGCCCGGGGAGCCCCTTCCCCGCGGCGTCCGCCTGGTCCCTCTGGCCAGGCCCGCCTCTGCCTGCTGTCCTTGGCTCCGCGCCGCCCCGGGTCTCTCTGCCCCCTGTGCCCAGGAGTGCCCCACCCCCACCCGGGCCGCAGGAGGCTCACCTGTGCCCGGGGCTCGCCACCCACGGCCCCGGCCCCGGCTCAAGCAGGCCAGCGGGCGGGGCGCCCGGGATTAGCGCGGGGATTAGGGCCCCTCCCCGCTGGCCTGAGCCGAGGGCGGGACCGGCCGCGCTGCTGGGGACACGGCGGCCTCGCACACAGAGCTTTGTTTCCAACATCCATTTATTTGAAAGGCAGAGAGAGAGAGAGAGAGAGAGAGAGAGGTCCTCCATCCGCTGGGTCACTCCCCAGCGGCCGGAGCTGAGGGAGGGAGACCCAGGCCTGGTGGGCGAGATCCTTCTGGAGTGCCAGCCCGGCGGGGGGCGGCGCACACGCGGGCGGCCAAGGGCCGGGCAGGGCAGCGCCGGCTGACTGCCGCGGGGGCGGCTCGGGCGCCGGTCCGCTTAGGCGGATTAGGGGCCGGGGCCCGGCCTCCTCCGTCCTGCTGGGGCGCTGCCTGCCGACCGTTTTCATTTTCTATTAAAATCCTTTATTGGAAAGGCGGCCGCGGGAAGAGGTTGTCCGCCTGCTGGTTTATGCCTCAAACGCCCACAGCAGCCAGGGCTGGGCCAGGCAAAGCCGGGAGCTCCATCCGGGTCTCCCGCGTGGGTGCACGGAACAGTAACCGCCGGCTGCTGGGGTGCGCATGCGCGGGGAGCTGAGGCCGGGCTCGACCCCAGGCCCTCGGGTGTGGGATGCGGGCGTCCCACCCTGCAGCATCCAGAGGACGCAGCCCGCCCGCGCCCGTTTGCCGGACAAGGCCCGGGGGAGGCACCTGCCGGGACCTCTAGGGTGGGCGCCCCAGGGCCCGCAAGGTGGGCAGCCAGCACCTCCCAGAGGTCCGGCTCTGCCTGTTGGGTCCATGAGTTCTGGCCTGGCTTTGCCCACGGGGGGGGGGGTCGCCCCCAAACTGTGACAGCACAGGCTGGGGGGTGCCCAAGCCCCGAAGGGCCTGTCACCCACGGGTGCTCCCGGAAGGGGGGTGGGGTGGGTGATGTCTGAGTGAGGGGTGGGTGAGGGGTGGGGGTGGTGAGTGGAGGTGCCTCCCTCCCTCCCTCCTCCGAACGTCCCCTGGTCCCCTCACTGCCGAGGGGGTCTTCCCGGGTTGGGGTTTTGGTCCTCGGCTCCCTCAGAGGGCCGAAGGCCTGGGCTGGCGGGGTCAGGGGACCCCGGTGGTGTGGGGTGAGCTCTCACAGGGGGCCTGGCCCGCGGGGTCAGGCGGCCCCCAGGTGGGATGGAGCCCCCCAGCGCCCCCTCCCTGGGTCGAGGACTTGAGGTTGCCGTGGCACCCGGGCGTCCCGGGCGTGGGGCGGGGAGCCTTAGACTCGGGGCGGCTGCTCTCCCAAGACCCCCAGCGGGGATCCCGTCCCAGGGTCCCACGGCGGGGTCCTTGTGCCCCGCGGCCACCTCGCGGACAGGACCAGGGCTCCTGGCTGAGGGGCGGGGGCCGGGGCGGCTGGGACCTCGAGGCCCGGCAGGCGATGGCTGGGGGCGCAGCCCACTGATGGCCGCCCAGGGTGGGGGGAGGACGGGGCGGGGGGGCGGGAGGCCTGGCTGCAAAGCAGGCCGGGGGTGGCCGGGCACAGGGGGCGGCGGCCCCCAAGAGACGCACACGCCCTGGGTCCTCGCAGTCGGTGTTTATCGGCGTCACAGCCTGGGGTGTCCGGGGGCTGCCCCGCCCGCGCCTGGCCCGCAGCCCACTCCGCGCCCCCCGCCCTGTGTCCTCGGGGGGCAAAGGTCACGGCTCCTGGCTGCGCGGGGCGCTGGAGGGGCCAGGGTCCTGCGCGGCGGGGGCGGGGGCGGGGGCGGCCCGCAGCTCGCGCGCCAGCTTCTCCACCAGCTTGCGGAAGGGAGGCCGGCGCGCGGGCTCCGCCTCCCAGCAGCTGCCCATGAGCGCGTGCACGGGCCCCGGGCAGCCGTCGGGGGGCTCCATGCGGTACCCCTTCTCCACGGCCTCCGACACCTCCTTCAGCGACTGCGGGCGGGAACAGGCCGGTGTGGGCGGGGGCCGGGCCAGCGGCGCCCCCGCCCCGCCCGCGAGCCCGCTCACCATCTTGGGGTACGGAGCTCGTCCGTACGAGAAGACCTCCCAAAGCAGCACCCCGAAGCTCCACACGTCCGACTTGCTGGTGAACCTCTGCGGGGGGGCCCGGGTGAGGCGGGGTCGGGGTCTCCCTTCCTCTGAGCCCCGCCCCCCGCCGCAGGTGTGCAGCGGGGGTCCCCAAACCCCAGGCCCGGCGGGAGGCTCACCCCCTGCCTGAGCGCCTCGGGCGCCGTCCACTTGACCGGCAGCCGGCTCGAGTCCAGCCCCTTCCTCTCGGCCTTGGCCAGGCCGAAGTCGCTGACCTTGGCCACCAGGTCCTCGGACACGAGCACGTTGCGCGCGGCCAGGTCGCGGTGCACCAGCCGCTTGGCCTCCAGGTACTCCATGCCCTCGGCCACGTGGCTGCGGGGGCACGCGGGTGTCAGGCGGCGCGCGCCCCCCAGGCTGCCCGGCCCGGCCCGGCCCGCCCCACTCACAGGGAGAACTGCAGCAGCTGCGCCGTGCTGACGAGCGCGCGGCCGCGCGTGCGCAGGAAGTTCACCAGGTTGCCCTGCGTGGGGGGGGGGGCGTCAGCGGGCGGCCCGGCGCGGCCCCGCCCCCCGCCCGGGCCCCGCCCACCTTGCTCAGGTGCTCCATGACGAGGTACAGCCCCTGGTGCAGGATCACGCCCAGGAGCCGCACCAGGTTCCGGTGTCTCATCTTCCTGGGGGGGGCGGCGGGGTGAGGGCGCCGGGCCCGCCCCCCGCCCCGGGCGCCGCCCCCGCCCCGCCACTCACGTCATCACCGCCGTCTCCTCCAGGAAGGCCTGGGCCGTGACGTCACACCTGATGTTCTTCACGGCCACCTTCTGCCCCAGGTACTCGCCCTGCAGGACGGCTGGGGGCGGGCGGGGTCAGCCGCACGCGCCCGGTCCCCCCCAGCCCCTGCGCCCCGGCCGGCTCCCCGCTGAGGCACCTGAGCCCCTGCACCCACGGGGAGCCCGGACGGAGCCCCCGCCCCGGCTCCAGCCACTTGGGGGGCGACGCGGCGGACGGGAGCGTCCATCTCTGCCTATCAAGTGACAGCCGCCCCCCGGCTCCCGCCCCCCCCTCCGCCCCCCGCACCCCCTCACCTCCGAACTCCCCCTCTCCGATCTGCGCCCCCAGCGTCAGGTGCTGCAGGTTCAGCAACCAGCCGGCTGTGGGCAGAGCCCCGTCAGGGGGTCGCGGGCCGCCCCAGGCCCCTCCCCGCCCGGCCAGAGACCGAGGGAGGACCCCAGGCCGCGCGCCGGCCCCAGAGGACCGAGGGGAGAGACCCCCACTCCCGGTGCCCAGCACAGCAGCGGGAACGGGGCTCGCAGGCGGACGCCCGTGGGGGCGCGCGAGCCCTAACCCCGGCCCCGCTGGGGTGCGGAAGAGCACTCCCGGGAAGGGGAACCGAACGCCCGGCGGCCCCGAGGGCAGCGCGCGGGCGGGGCTGGCGAGGGGGCCGGGCCGGGTGCGCGCTAAGGCGGCCTCCAGGGAGCGAGGACTTGGGGGTCCCGGAGGGAGCCGCGCTGGGAGGGGACCCCGAGGCTGGGCCGGGCCGGGTGCGCGCTAAGGCGGCCTCCAGGGAGCGAGGACTTGGGGGTCCCCGAGGGAGCCGCGCTGGGAGGGGACCCCGAGGCTGGGCCGGGCCGGGTGCGCGCTAAGGCGGCCTCCAGGGAGCGAGGACTTGGGGGTCCCCGAGGGAGCCGCGCTGGGAGGGGACCCCGAGGCTGGGGGGGGGGGAGGCCGGGACGCGCCGGGCCGCGGGCGCGGGCCTACCCTTGGCCAGCTCCTCCTCGGCCGACCTCGTGCCCTGCTTCCGGCGGGGTTTCCCGAGCTTCGTGCAGATGGCGCCCTTGGTCCGGCTGTAGTGCTGCGGGGCGCGCGGCCGTGAGCGGGCGCGGTCGGGGCGCCCGGGCTGCGTGGTGGCCGGTTTCCATGGGAACGGGGAGAGGAGGCGGGGCCGGGGTGTGTGGGGAGGCGGGACGTGGGCGGGGCTTCGGGGGAGGATTCCTGGCCGGGGAGGCGGAGCCTGTAGGGGCGGGGCCTGTCCGGGGCAAGGCGCGCGGGGGAGGAGCCTTGCTGGGTGGGCGGGGCCTGGCCCGGGGGCGGGGCCCGGCGCGCACCTCCACCATGTCCATGAGGTTGCAGAAGCACGCGCTCTCGTCGATGGTGAGGCGGCCGTCGCGGTGCAGCACGCGGTAGTGGATGACGTCACGGCCGAAGCTCACGCACAGCACGTAGTCCCCGGGGTGCCGCGCCGACTCGCGCACCAGGAACAGCCCGTCCTCGGGCGGCTGCAGCTGCCGCACGGCCTCGGGCCCCGAGATCTTCCCGTGGAACCACCTGCGGCGGGGCGGGGTCAGCGCGGGCGGGGCGGGGCCGGCCGGGCTCGCCCCGCCCCCCGCCCCGCCCCACTCACGGCATGAGGCTGAGCCTGGGGTCGGCGGACAGGGCCTCGCGCTCGCGCAGCGCGCCGGCCGCCAGCAGCCCCTCCTGGCCGCTGGCGTGGTGCTTGGCGCGGTACCAGCTCTTGCTCTGTGCGGGAGGCGGGAGGCGGGCGTGGGCGGGGTCCGGGCGGCGCGCCCCCGCCGCCGCGCACGCGCTTACCTCGCAGGCCTCCAGGATGGTGACCACGTCGCCCTTGCGGAAGGCCAGCTCCCCCGGCTTGGGCCGCGAGTGCTCGCACTTGGTGATGCACTGCGTGCCGGGGGCCCAGCGCCTCTGGCCAGGGCGGGACGCCGGGAGACGCGCGGGCAGGGGGACGGGCGCAAACCCGGGGCGGGGGGCGAGAGAGAACCGAGTCAGGACGGGAGCGAGGGGACCCCGGAGCTGGGGGCGGGGGGACGGCGCCGCCGGGTCCCGCACCCCCGTCCCCGGGCATGGCGTGGGCTGGGGCCGGGGGCACGAGGCCGGGCACTCACCGTGGGCATCCTGGCTGAGACGGGCAGCGAGGCCGGGCCAGGAGACGGGGGCTCACCTGGAGCGGGGTGGGCACGGGACAGAGCCGCGCTCTGGGGTCCGGAGTGCAGCCGCCCCGGCCACCGCTCAGGGTCCAGAACCCCAAGACACACCCCACCCGGCCCGGAGGCGAGGGACTTGTACCCCCGGCAGGGTCACGGCCGTGACCTCACTCCGCCACGACCCCCCAGGGGACTCCGTGGCACCCAGGGCGGCGCAGGCTGCTGGCCAGGGAGCAGTGGCCGGGCCCAGGCCCGGCGCTTCCTCTTCTGTGAGTCGGGGGCGGATGAGTCAAGGTCATTCCCGCGAAGGTCTGACCCCGGGGTGCAGCGCGGCCCCGTGACCCCCACCCCATCCCCGGGCGCCCGCGCTGGGCGGCGACGCGCCCCCTCCCCCCACCGCCACAGGTGGCTGGGCACCCGGTGCCCAGGAAGAACCCACGCAAACCCAGCGGCTCGGGGGCGCCAGGGGCCGGCCACCGGTGCCAGGAGGGCGCGCACCGGGAACGCGCGCACCTGTGGGGCCCCCGCCCCGCCACGCCCCGCTCTCGAACACCTGGGCGGTAGGCGCACGGGCGTCTCGGCCGCACGCAAGAGGCCCTCCCTCCACGTGGGCGCACGGGGTACGCCGGCGCCCCCTGCACCCAGCCCAGCCCGCGTCCGACCGCCGCCGGCCCCGCGCGCGCCCCCGCTAGCCGGGGTCCCCGGGACGCCGCTCCGCCCGCCTCCAGGTCCGCCGCCCCCTCCCCGGCCGCCGCGCTCACCTGCTCAGGGGACGCCCCCGGGCCGCGCCCCACGCCCGGCCCCAGGCGGGTCCCCGCGAGCCGGCAGCGCACCCCGAGGCGCTCCGGGCTGCACAACTTGGAGCAAGTCGCTCCGTTTCCTCATTTTGGGGCTGGGGGGGAGAGCCGGTCGGGGAACAGGGGGGTGGTGGCGGGCGGCGCCCGGGAGGCCCCCGCGGGTCCTAGCGCCGGCCGCACTGCGGTCCGCTTCGCGCGCGCGCGCACCGCCGGCCCCTCCCCGCCCCGCCCCCGCGGTCCCCGGCTCCTCCTGCGGGGGCCGCGTGCGGGGGTCCGGCAGGCGCCGCCCGCTCGCGCGGGGTGGAGGGGCGAGCTGCCCGTCCGGAAAGGCCAACAAGTCCAGCCTTTTCAGTCCGGCCCATTGAAGAAATAAAATTCTCTTAAATTTACATGAGAGGCAGGGCGGGGCCACGCCCAGAGGGCCCCCACAGCCAGGGCCGCGCCAGGCCGAAGTCGGGAGCTGGGGACTCCATCCGGGTCTCCCCCGTGGGTGCAGGGGCCCGGGCACCTGCGCCATCGCCCTGCCTCCCAGGGTGCGCACAGCAGGGCGCTGCCGCCCAAGCGGGGTGCGCGCCCCAACCCGCCCCCTAGGGGCCGCCTTGCTCACGGCAGCGGGCGCTGGGGTGGGGCACAGCGCAGCGGGCACCAGGGGGCTCTGAGCGCCCAGGCCCCCTGGTGGGGCGATGTGTGCGAGCGCCACCGTGCACGCGCCCAGGGCCCCGGCCACCCCCAGCACGCAGGGCCTGCAGCCCGCGCTCCACGCCACCGCGTTCTCTCTGGGGTCCGTGTCAGTCCCCCCCCCGCACCCCGCGGACGCGGGAGGAAGGCAGGGAAGGAGCAGAGGGGCCTCAGGCGTGGGGCCGGCGTCCCAGGGCACCGTGACTCCTCTCGGGGTCACAGCCACAGGCCGGGGACAGGCGGCGTCCAGGACGTGGCCTCTCGCAATCTCGACTCGGTGGCTCTTCCTGTTTCCCCTGCCCCCCAGCGCGAGCCGGCCACGCACCCCGGCCCCTTCTTCGCAGGGAGGCCCCCTCGCCAAGCAGCCAGGGGACACGGAGGGGACGGTAGCCCTCCCTCCCCCGTGCCCCACGTGCAGCGGCCCCAGCGTCTGCCACTCACCCTCCTGCGCCCGCCCCTCTGGTTCTCACCACTGGCATCACCCAGGTTCTCGCGAATCCCGCAGGACGCAGGGGCCACCTCCCACCCCGGAACCCCGACGGCTGAGGCCCAGGCACTTTGAGGAATGGGGTGAGGGTCGGCAGCAGAGGGAGAAGCCGACCGGTCGGGCGAGGCCAGGAACGCGGCCTCTTGGCGCCTGAATGAGCTCCATCGGTCCCATCTGCATTCCAGCCCACGAGAAGTGCGAAGGGGCAGCGACAGGTGCGCCTCTCTCCACGTCCCACTGGGTGGAACCCAGTCAAGGCCACCCTGGGAGCAGAGCCCAGGGGAGATGGTGAGGCCAGCAGCACCAGGCAGCTCTTCCTCCAAGCCAGTGGGCAGGCCGCTGCCCCAGGGCCTCTGCCCAGTGCGCTCCGTGGGGCTGCCACTCAGCCGCCGCCTTCCCGGCTGGGTCCCCTGCAGGCCGTGGACGAGGCTGGTGCACAGCGTGTCCGCAGCGCGCGCTCCAGGCAGGCAGCGGTGGGGCTGAGCCGGGCGGCGGCCGGCGGCCAGGCCCCACTGCCCCAGTTACCACGTCTTTAAATTTAGCTCCCCGCCCCCTGCCAGGGGACTCCGCGGGCTCCTTCCAGGAAAAATGCAGCCAGTGCCCGCCCCGCCACCGGATGGAGGCTGCCTGAGCCCCCACCCCCGCACACATCACGGCCCCCGCGCCCCCCTCCCCCACACCCCCGGGGTCACGGCCATCACCCTCCAGGCACCAGCCGGAGCCGCACAGCCTCCGACCGCGGGGCCTGGCCCATGGCCCGCCGGCACCGAGGCGAGGGGCAGGTGACAGGCGTCCGTCAGGGCGAGCTCCGAGCCCCTGCTCCAGGGCTGCGTCCCCGGGCACGGGACCCGCAGGTGGGGCGGGCGGAGCTGCACGCCCATCAGCGTTTGGAAGCCCCCCCAGCGGCGAGCCCCTTGTCTTCCCGACCTCCACATCTCCGGCTCGGTCCTCTCGGCTCAGGCGCTTCGGCTCCCGGGAGTTGGTAATCGCCAGGGTTTCAGGCGTCTGCGGCTCCGCCCCCGACCCCCCCCCCCCCGGCTGTGCACCTGCCCGTTTTTGGGCACGCGAGGCCCTCCCTGCCCTCCCTGTGTGCGTGACCTGGGCCCTGGGCCCGCTTCCCCGCCCTCCGCCCGCCTCTTGGAAGTCTGTGGCCTTTTCTGGCGCCCTGGGGGCTCCGTGGCGTGTGACAGTGGACACTGCTGGCCTCCCTGGGTCCAACACCCAGTCTTGTCGCCCCCCCCCATTCATCTTTTATTCTACTTTGCGGACTTTTTAAAAAATTATCTGAAAGGCAGAGTTACATAGAGACCGTCCATCCACTGGTTCACTCCCCAGATGGCCGCAGCGGACAGCACTGGGCCAGGAGCGTCCTCCGGGTCTCCCACGTGGGTGCAGGGGCCCAGGCGCTTGGGCCAGCTGCAGGGAGCCGGACCGGAAGTGGAGCAGCCGGGGGTCTCCAACCTGCGCCCACGGGGGCAGCCGGCAGGAGCGGCGGGTGCCCGCGCCCGGGGCGGGGGGACTGCGAGGGGGCCGCGCGCGCTCTTTGGGACGGCCGTTGTGCACACGTGGGCTGCTCGCCCAGCGCACGGGCTGGCGAAATTCGCAGGAGACCTCCTCCCCTTTGGGGGGCGGCTCACGGCCACGGGATCCCAGCGCCCAGCAAGGCACGCAGGCGGCCGGACAGGCCACGCTCTCCACGCGCGGGACGTGGACGCCCACAGCGCGGGGCGCCCAGCAGGGGCGAAGCTCTGACGCTCGCTGAGCGCCCCGAGGACGTCTCAGCCCGGGAGAAAAACGGGCAGAGGCCACGCGTGGGCTTCACCCACGGGGCACGTCCAGGACAGCGGGCGCGCCGTGGCCGGAGGCTGGGAGGGGCGCTGGAGCGTTCTGGAAGCAGCGCTGGGGCGGCCCGGCCCGGCCGTGCGCCTTCGGGGAGCGAGCTCGTCTCCCTCGCCCTGCCTCCCCAATAAATGCAGAGGGCGCTGGAGGGCCTCGCGTTTCCTCCTCTATCTTCCTGCTTGTCGGGTTTTTTACGGACGGGGGCGCCCCTCGCGCGAAGCCGCCACGCCGGCCTCCAGCCGCTGCCCATCTCCCGCCCGCCCTGCCCGCGGCCCTCCCGGCGCCGGCCCGCTCACCTGCGGCATCTCCGCGGGCGCCGAGGCGGGCTACGCGGCACCGGCTGGCGGCATCGCCTCCCCGGGCCCGCGACCTTGGGACGCAGCCGCCGGCTCCGCGCTCCCGCTTCTGTCTCCCGCACCGCCCGCCAGCCCGGCTGCAACCCCGCCCCCACGCACGCGTCATCCCGCCCCCACGCGCCGCGTCGCCTAGCAACCGGCTCCCCGCCCGCACCCGCAGCAGTCGGGATTCGTGGCGCCGGGCCCGGGGTGCCCGCGCTCCGGAAGGCAGACACTGCTGCGGCGGGGGCCGGCGCGGGGGGCTGCAGGACGCGGGGGCTGGGGGCGGGGCCGAAGCCCGGCGGAAGCTGCTTATTGGGGTGTCTGCCGGCGCAGGGGGCGTTAGAACGGCAAGTCCAGCCTCGGGCGGACTGTCCGGCCGCGGGCCCTAAGGAAGCCAGGGGGCTCCGGGTGGGGAGCGCCGAGCGGAGTGGTCGGGCCGCCCGCCGGGGCTGGGGTGAACAGGGCGGGCTGCGGGGCTTGGGCACGCCCGCCCTCCACACAGAGAGCCCGCTCCGGCCCCGCAGGCCTCCCGGCGGTGTGGCCGCGTGCCCGACTTGCAGCGAGGACAGGGACAGCCCCGGGCAGAGCCCCTGGACTCCCCCCGACCCAGCCCAGCCCGCACACAGCGCACGGTGGCGGCTGAAGACGTCTCCTTTATTGCCCCGGCCCCCGGGAGCCGCCGGGCCCTGTCTCAGGGTGGACCCTGTCCCAGGGTGGGCCCGCATGCGCGTCCCCGGGGCCAGGAACGCTCGCGAGGGGCGGCCGTGCCCGCAGCGGGGCGGGAGCTCCCGCCCTGGGCAGCCCTGACCTCCAAGGCACTCGGCGGTGCGGGGTGGGGCCCGGCCCGCGTCCTCCCCCGGCCTCAGCCACCCCACCCCGGGGCAGGGCGGTGGCTGCGCCCCTCATGGCGAGTCCGCGCCGGGCAGGGGGCAGGGCAGGCACGCAGGGGCCCGGGCAGGTGCCGCGTCTCCCGGGCGAAGCGCGAGCGTTGAGAAGAGCCGGGGGCGGGGCGGGGGCGGGGCCAGTGTCGGGGGCGGGGCCAGTGTCGGGGGCGGGGCCGGTCGGGCGGTTGGTTGGCTCAGGCGAGGCCCTGCGCGCCGGGCCGGCCGCGCTTCTTGTCGGCGTTGGCGGCGGCCTCCCTCGCCTTGCTGGCCTCGCGCTCCCTCTTGCGGAAGCGGACGCCGGGCCTCCTCTTGGGCAGCGGCAGCGGCTCCATGCCCAGGACCTTGTGTATCTGGCGGAAGACCAGCATGCGCAGCGCGTGCTGCGGGGGCGCGCCGTCAGGGCTGGGGGCGGGGGCGGGGGCAGGGGCGGGGGCGGCCGCCTGCACCCCGGCCCCGCCCCGGCGCGCCGCCTACCTGTGCGCTGGCCGTCACGTCCTCGCGCTGCTGCGCCGTCATGGGCTCCAGGGCGTCCATCGGGTCCTTCTCGCAGGGGTCCTGCAGCCCGGGGCCGTCTTCACCGGGGAGGGGGCGGCAGGGAGAGCGAAACCGGTGACTGCGCGTGCGCGGGACCCCCTAACCCCCCCCCCCCGCGGTCACTGAGAACCACTCGGAGCCCCGGCCGCGCCCACCCCGCGCTGACCTGCGAGCAGCGTCCCGGTGGCCACGTACTCCAGCACGCGGCGCATGGCGTCGCCGGGGCTCAGGGGCCTGGTGGCGCTGCTCAGAGCCCTCTCCACCAGCAGCTCCATGGCCTGGGGGGAGGGGGCGGGCTCGAGGGGCAGCGCGGGGAGGGGCCCTGGGCGCTCCTCCCGGGGACAGGGCGGCCACTGCACGCGCCTCGTGTACCCCGCCCAGGGCCCCTCTCCCGCAGGGCCCCCCAGGGCACCAGAGGTGGTGGTGGGGCCGGGGGCGGTGCTGCCGCGGCCGCGGTCTCGCATGCCAGGGCAGAAGCAGGAGCTGGGACAGCGTGCGTGGGGCAGGCCCCTGGGAGGGGGTGGGGCTGGGGGCCGGTGCGCACGCGCCCAGGGAGGGTGCAAGGACAGACGGGCACACACTGTCCCCAGGAAGACAGGGCCGGCCTCGTCGTCCCCCGCCCCAGGAGGGGCTCGGGCCGACTGACGGTGCTGGTCGGGGCGACCCCGAGGCCAGCGTGGAGCCCGGATGGGGCCAGCTCTGGGCAGGGTCTGCGCACCTCCGTGGCTGCCACGGTGAGGTCCAGGGCCGCCACAGGGGCTGTGGCTGGAGGCCCCACCCCGACCCTCTTACCCCGGGCGGCAGGGCGCCCTTCCCCGTGGGCACGCCCCTCCCCCGCCTTACCCAGGGCGGCAGGGCCCCCCAGGTGGGCACGCGCTGGCACAGGTCCCGCAGCACCCTCATGACGACCACACACGGCTCCAGACCGCTGGCCCGGGCCTGCGGGGAAGCAGCGTGAGCCGGGCCGGGCCGGGCCGGGCCCCGCCGCAGGGGCAGCCGCACCCCCCTCCCGCGGGCGGGGCCGCCGACCTGGAACCACTTGGCGCGGCGCAGGGCGGCCAGGGACTCGAGGCACGTCTCGGCGCTCAGCAGGTCTCGGGGTTCCGGCTGGGGCGCCGCGGGCTCCGCTCCTGGGGAGACGCCCCACGCCCCGCTCAGCCGCCGCACGCACACAGGCCTGACTCCGCAGGCCGCCAGCAGCCCAGCGCGGGCCTCGGCTCCCCGGCCCCACCCCGTCTCCCACAGACCGGCCAGCCCAGCCCGAAGGCGCAGGCCGAGCCCCGGCGGATGGAGGGGACGGCGGGCTGGGACCCGGAGACTTCTAGAACGAGCCGGGCCGGGACTGGCTTCCCTCGGGCTCCTCCGGCCCCCCCCCGGACCGCGCCCCGGGCAGGTGGCACGCGGGGCCGCACCTGCGTCCGCGGAGGAATCCTCTCGCACGAGCGGCGAGGTGACCGCCACGGAGACCTGCATCCGGGGCTCTTCGCAGGAGGAGATGATGATGTTGGCGTCAGGGTCAGAGGACACCTCGTACTTGTCCTCGGCCACCACCTGCAGGGCGGCGCACGGTCACCCCACAAGCCTCCCCCAGGCCTCCACCTGGGCGGGGACCCAGACCCCGCGCCAGCGCCAGCACCTCCCCAGACGCGGAGACGCTGGACCGAAGGCCGGCGCTGCCCCACGGGAGTGCCCGCCCCCGCCGTGCCTGCCCGCCCCACGCGCGCTCACCAGCAGCGTCCGGGGCAGCAGCTCGGCGATCCTGCGCAGCAGCGTGTGCGTGGGCTTCTCCGAGCACAGCAGGGTCAGCTGCACCCTCCGGTCCCCCCGCAGCAGGAGGCCCTTGGCCAGCGCGCCCACGCGCATGACGCCTTTCAGCACGCGGGCAGACGGCGCGATGGCGCTGCGGGACAGAGGGCTGCTGGGGGCCCGCTCGGAGGCGCTGGGGGGGGCAACTGTGCTCCTGGGGAGGGGGAGGCGCTGGGGGGGGACTGTGCCCCTGGGGGAGGTGCTGGGGGCCCCGCAGAGGGCGGTTTGGGGACGCAGCCGCCACCCCGGCCCCCGGCGCTCAGGGCTCCGCCGTCATCAGCTGGGGGGGGGGTGTGCCGGCCGCCCCCTGCAGGCACCCTCACCTGTACTGGCCGCCGCCCTCCTCGCGGGCCAGCGTGTCCGACACCAGCTTGAGGGCCTGCTCCGTGTGCGCCACGGCCCTCTGCACGGCCAGCAGCTCCTCCTCGGTGGGGTAGATGATGGAGTGCTTGAACAGCACGTACCGGTCGTTGCTGGTCTGCGGCCGCCAGCCGGGCTGCGGGCACAGGCGCGGCGGTGTAGCCAGGCAGCGCTGCGGGGCCGCTCGCCGCAGCGCGGGCCACACCGGGGAAGGGGCCCCACGTCAGGATGCAGGGGGCGGCCCACACGCTCTCTAGGTCTCCCAGCACCCACCGAGCACCCACCCACCGGAAACGGGGAGGCCCCGGGCCTGCCCATGAGCGGTGGGGGCGGCCAGTCCGGCGGCAGGTGCGGTGGCTCCTCGTCTGGGGGCGGCGGCTCCTCCGGCCACCTGCCGCGCGCTTCGTAGCACCTGCGGACCCAGGTGGGGACAGGTGAGGGCAGCGCCGGCCTGGTGGATGCCCAGGGCCTGAGCCCCGCCCACCCCTCGGCGACCCGGGCCCACGCTGTCGCTTAGCCCCAGGAGGAGTGACCACTGGGCGCTGCTGGGGCTGGCCAGCGTCCCCCAGGGGCACGAGGCCCAGGCCCCTCAGATCTGCCGCTGTGTTAGCCGCGGGCCCCGCGCAGGGGACAGGAAGGCCAGCACTGCTGTGGCGGCCTGCGGGAGTCCCCAGCCGCACAGGACCGCGTCCGCCACCGGGTGCTGGGAACCGGGGTGCAGCAAGGCCGCCCCCGGGCGCCGCCCACCCCGGGCCCTTCACGCGTGCGCGGGGCGGGGCGGCCAGGCCCCGGGGCAGCCGCACACCTGCTCTCCGCTTGCCAGCGCCGCAGCGCCTCCAGCCGCTCCCGCGCCAGGCGTCTCTGCGAGCGCAGCCGCCCCTCCAGGAGCCGGCGCAGCCGCGGGCCGGACTTGCCGGCCACGGGCAGGTCCGCGTTCACCTTTCTCTGCGGAGGGAAGGCGGGCGTGACGCCGGGCACCGGTGGGGGTGGGGGCGCGGGCGCCTGTCCCCAGGCACCGGAAAGCGGCGGGACGGAAACGTGCGGAGACTGGACACGACCCGGCACCGCGCGCCTGCCCCGCCCCCTCCCGCGGTGCATCAGACCTGCCCACGGCCCCCTTCCCGACACACCCTGTACTGCAGCCGGTGCCGCCGCCCCTTCACGTGCATGTCCTTGGCCTTGGGGTTGTTGAAGCTGCACTCGCACAGCTTGCAGTAGAAGCGGATCACCTTCCCCTGGTTGTTGTACACCTGCGGCACAGCCCGGCTGAGCCCCTGCGAGGGCCGCCCCGCCCCGCCCCGCCCCGCCCCCACCGCGGCCCTGCCCCACCCCACACCCAGGCCAGCGGGCCCCGCCCCCCGCCCAGGCCCCGCCCCTTCCTTCTGCTGCCCCCCACGGGGTCCCCAGTGGCGAGAGCCTGCAGGGAGGGCGCTGAGCCTGCTGAACCCGGGCGTGCACGTCAGGCTGGCCGACCCGCCTGCCCGCTCCGCGTCACCGGGCGCTCGCTGGAAGGCCGGCCCGAGAACGCCCCTCCCGAGGGGACAGGATGGCCCTGGGACGCCCCCCAGTCTCCCTGGCACCCGGGTCAGCTCCAGCGGGCTGCCCTCCGGGCGGAGGGGCGGGGCGGGACTGCCAACCTCAGGGGAGACCTGCACGCGTGCCCCCAGCCCTGACCCACCTCATCCACGTAGTCCGGGCCCACCGCCTGCGGTTCCTGCTGGCCAGCGGAGCCTCCCTGGGCCGGCGGGGCTTCCGGTGCCTTGGACCTGGGGCAGGCCTTCCCCTGCTGTCCGCTGCTGGCTGCCTTCGGCTCAGGAGGTCCTGAGGGGACCCTGTGGCGGTCACTGCCCCAGGCCCCCCACCCTGCTGCCACCAAGGCCGAGAGCAAACCCAGGTGGCCCCCGGCCAGCGCAGGAAGGCAGGCCGCGGCCGGACCCCGAGTCCCAGCCCTGGGGAGGTGGGGCAGCCCGCACCCACCCCACCTGCGGGTTCCAGGGCTCAGTGTGGGCCCCGCGGCCCTGCCCTGCGCCATCAGGCCCTCTCCCGGGACAATGGGGTCTCTCGCAGGGGCCCGCCCACTCCTGGGGCACCGACTGCGGTAGTCGGGGTGCGGGGGGGGGGTCACGTACCCGCCGGCTCGGCCTCCGTGCCGCTCTCTGGGGCGGGGGCAGCCTGGGCCGCGCCGGAGCTGCTTGGTGCCCCTTCCGAGGCGGGGAGCGGCTTCCCTGGCTTCGCGAGCGGCTTGGGGACCTGCGAGAGACCAGCCCCTCGGTCAGGGCCACCTCGGGCCTGCGGGCCACGCGGCTCCAGCGCCCGGGACTGCTTCTGCGGGACGCAGCGGTGTGGACGGACGTGCGCTTAGGGCTGCGAGCCAGGACACGGCCACAGCAGAGCGACCCGTGGCGGGCGGCAGACACCAGGGGAACCCCGTGTCCGCGCCAGGACTCTGGCCGCACGACGGCGCCTCCCAGGCTGCCGGCCAGCATGGTCCACGCCACACGGGGCCAGCCTGCGGCCGAGCAGTACCGCGTTCGTGGCCGAGGCCCAGCCCTGCCTGACCGCAGACCCCGGGAGGCGGCGGGGACGGCGCCAGCCCGCGGCAGAGCTGGCCCCAGTCCAGTCCCTCGCGCAGGGAGCGCCCAGGGTCCCTCCAATCACTAGGTAACATGCAGACAGCAGCCGGGGGGACGCTCCCAGCAGGCTTGGGGGGCACTGAGCCGCTCTGCGGGAGGCGGGCAGCACCCATGGGCGCTGGGCCGAGGCTGCCGTCTCCACGTCCCCAGCTGGCCACCGCGCACCCGCTGGCTCTGTGTCCAGTGCTCCGCCCCAGCCCTGGGTCTCCCTGCTGTCCGCCCTGGCGCACCGGCCTCAGGGCAGCTGGGGAGAGGACCTGGGCCTGCGTCCAGGCAGGTGAGGCCCACGAGGGCAAGGGCAGGGGGCCGCGTTCCACGGGGGAGGGGGGCTCAGTACGTGGGGAGGACAGGGGGGACCGGCCAGAGGTGACCTTGCACGTCATTGTTTTCCTTTTCTTTCTTTTCTAAGATTTGTTTGAAAGGCAAAGTTACAGAGAGGCAGAGGCAGAGGCAGAGAGAGAGAGAGAGAGGGAGGGAGGGAGGGAGGGAGGGAGGGAGGGAGGGAGGGAGAGGGAAAGGGAGGGAGGGAGGGAGGGGGAGAGAGAGGGAGGGAGGGAGGGAGGGAGAGAGGGAGGGAGGGAGAGAGGGAGGGAGAGAGAGAGAGAGGGAGGGAGGGAGGGAGAGAGAGAGAGGGAGAAGGAGAGAGAGGTCTTCCATCCACCGGGTCACGCCCCAGATGGCCACAGTGGCTGCAGCTGCGCCAATCTGAAGCCAGGAGCTCCATCCGGGTCTCCCACACGGGTGCAGGGCCCGAGGACCTGGGCCGGAAGTGGAGCAGCCGGGACTTGAACCGGCGCCCCTGTGGGGTGCGGGCCTGCAGGGGCGGCTCTGCCCGCTGCGCCACACGCCGGCCCTTCTTGCAGGCCTTCCAACAGCACAGGAGATGCTGCATCAGGCTACAGACCCCTGCCCTCAGCGAGCGTGCGGGGGGGGGGGTCCTTCTCCCAGACCTGGTGCTTCTGCACAGTGAGCAGGGGCCGGGGGCAGGGCAGGCTGGGCCCCACGTGGCGTGGGGGCTCGGGAGGGACGGCTCCAGGCCCTGGCACACAGGCCGCAGGGCAGCTGCACCCCGCCGGCCCTTCCACGTGCGCCCAGCAGGTCCAGGCGCTGCCCCGGGTTCCGTCTGGGCGCGAGGTGGGAGGGTCAGCGGACCTGCAGCCGGCCGCACACCCAGCTCCTCCCCTTCTCTACAAAGCAGCCGGGGCGGCTGTGACAGGGAGCGGGAGGCGGCGGCGACCACTGGGCCCCCAGTGCCTGCAGGTGCCCAGACGGAGTGGACAAGCCTCACAGAGAACCCCGCCAACTCGGCAGAGCCGCGCGCACAGCGCCCACAGGCCTCCAGGCTGCGCATGGCCTCGCTCAGGGCCAACACCAGAGTGCGTGCCCACGACACCCAGCCTCGGCCTCTCTGGGGGGTGCGTGCCCACGACACCCAGCCTCGGCCTCTCCCGGGGGGTGCGTGCCCACGACACCCAGCCTCGGCCTCTCCAGGGGGCGCGTGCCCACAGGACCCAGCCTCGGCCTCTCCTGGGGGGCGCGTGCCCACAGGACCCAGCCTCGGCCTCTCTGGGGGGTGCGTGCCCACGACACCCAGCCTCGGCCTCTCCAGGGGGCGCGTGCCCACGACACCCAGCCTCGGCCTCTCTGGGGGGCGCGTGCCCACAGGACCCAGCCCGGCCCCCCCGGGAGGGTACAGAGGCGGGGGCCAGCCTGCCGGGCGGAGGCAGCCGGTCTGCCCCAACCCCTGGGAGTCCCAAGCACACACAGGGGGACCTCAAAACGCTCGTGGAGGGCCGGACTGTGGCACAGCAGGTTAAGCCGCCACCGCGGGCCAGCGTCCCACTCGGCCCCGGCCCGAGTCCCGGCTGCTGCACTGCCGCTCCAGCTCCCTGCTCATGCGCCTGGGAAGGCGGCAGAAGACGGCCTGAGTCCCGCGTCCCCGCCACCACGTGGGAGACCCGGAGGCAGCTCCTGGCTTCTGCCTGGCCCAGTCCCGACCATTGTGGCCATCTGGGGAGGGAGCCACGACAGAGCCCCCCCCCCCCCGTCTCTCCCTCCCTAACTCTGCCTTTCAGGCTCTCTAACGAGGAAGCGCGTGGAGAACGGAATCGCAGGGTGCAAGTCTGGCCTCCGAGCCCGGCGCTCTTCCCCAAGTTCCCACAGGCCATTCCACAAACCAACGACGCGACCCGCTGCGCCCAGACTGCTCCGCGCTGCTGGGACCGCCACGGGCACTGGTCTGCGCACGAGAACAAGGCCCGGCCAGCCGATCGCCCCACACGGCGACAGCACCAGGCAGGCAGAGGCCAGGCCCGCAGAGGGGCGCTGCGCAGAGCCGGGAGGTCCTGGCACGGTCTCCCTCCGTTCGCTCTGCCTTCCAGACATGCAGTTCTTAAAGACGGAACCACAACGCAGGGCCCCGGCAGTCCCGCCCCAGGCCCCGCCCCTCCCGGTGGGCAGGTGGGCAGCCCTTCCCCGGGAGCCCCACCCGACGGGCTCGTAGCCCCAGCGAGGGCACGCCCCCCAGAGGCCGTGCGCGGCCCAGTCCACACCAGGTGACAGCGTGGGGCAGGGTCCCCGGGGCTCGCCCACCGAAGCAGCTGACCTTGTTGAGAGCACAGGCGCGGGGCTGGGGCTGCCTGGGGGTCCTGGGCTGCTGCGCAGGGCCGGCCTCGGGGCTGCCTTCCGCGCCGTCACAGGGCGGCTCTGGGCCAGGCGGCGGCCAGCAGGGGCTGGCTGCGGAGCCCACGGGCGGCGCATCTCCGGGTCCTGCGGGCAGAGAGGGGCGGAGCTTCACCCAGGAGGGACAGACGCTGTGGGAGGCCGTGGGAGGCGTGGCCCGAAGACAAGGGACGGACACGTGGCTTTGCCTTCAGGGACCACCGTGCAACGTGCTGGACGGTGAAGCCCAGGGGCCGGACAGTGAGGGGCCCCCAACCTCGAGCCCGGGCTGTGGGCGCCTGGACGAGCCCTGGGCAGCGGAAGTCACCGTCCCGCCCCGGGAGGCGCTGGGCTCCACCCCCTCAGCCCAGGCCTGCACCTGCGGGGCGCGGGGCCCGCCGAGGAGCGCCTGGGACTCCAGCCGGAGGCGGGGACGAGCCCGCGCCCCGCGCCCCGCGCCCCGCACCGGGCAGGCAAATACCCACCCGGCTGGCAGAGTGAGTCCTCGGGGCCTGTGAGCTGGGGCTGGCGGGCGGCAGATGGGCAGCCCTGCTCGTCCCCGAGGCTCCTGGCGGCTGGCGACTGACCACAGCTGTCAGTGTCCTGCGTGAGGGTCTGCGAGAGAGAGAGAGAGAGAGAGAGAGAGAGAGAGAGAGAGTCAGTGACGGGCGAGCCGACACCTGCCCGCACCCCGCACCACTGTTCCCCAGCGCTGGGCCTGCTGGGGAGAGAGGTCGGGGGAGGAGCCAGGCGGAAGTCCTGGGGGCTGGCAGGGGCATGGACAGTACAGGGGGAAGGAAGAGGCTGGGCCCTGCGGACGGCAGCCAAGGGGTGGCCACAGTCGGCGTGGGAATGCAGCGGCCAGGCCCACAGGCCGTGCCCCGTGGGCGCCGCCCCCCACTCCCGTCTGGAGGCGGGGACACGCGGGCTCCTGGCCGTGGGTGCGAGACGCTCGGCAGGTACCTGGCAGCCGGATGCACCGGTGGGTGCAGGCTCTGGGCCTGAGCAGGACGGGGCAGCCGCGGGGCTGACGCTGGGGCCTGTCCCGGGGTCCGGCTGCGCGGCCATGGGAGGCTGGGAGCTGGAAGCACACGACACAGGGCAGGCGGGTGAGACGCCGGGCCAGGCCACGACAGGCGGGGGGGGGGGGCGCCACCGTGCCCAGCCTACGGATGAGGCGACGGAGGCACCGGTGCGGAAGGGGTCAGCCCATCGGCGGCTTCGCTACCTGAGCATCAACCCCACATCGCGGGAATTTAAACGTCGGTTCTACTTATTTGAGTCACAGAGCTGGCCGGGCCAAGGCAACCGCAGGCGGGCTCGGAGCTCGAGCCCCAGACGGGCACTGCTCTTGGGACAAGGGGTCCACCACGGAGGTGGGCACAGGCCTCTGGAGAGGGGCCGCTCTCGGCCGCCAGCAGCGAGTGACCACGGGGCAGCGCCGCATGGCCGCCCCCACGGACCAAACCCCGTGCCGACCCCAGGCACGCCTGCCCCTGTAACGTCACTGGCGCTTCCTGTCCTTTCTTTTTTTTTTTCTTTTTTTTTTTTTTGCCAGGCAGAGTTAGACAGTGAAAGAGAGACAGAGAGAAAGATCTTCCTTCTGTTGGTTCACCCCCCAAAACGGCCGCTACTGCCAGCACACCGCGCTGATCCGATGGCAGGAGCCAGGTGCTTCTCCTGGTCTCCCATGTGGGTGCAGGGCCCAAGCACCTGGGCCATCCTCCACTGCACTCCCGGGCCACAGCAGAGAGCTGGCCTGGAAGAGGGGCAACCGGGACAGAATCCGGCACCCGACCGGGACTAGAACTGGTGCCCATATGGGATGCTGGTGCCGCAGGCAGAGGATTAGCCTACAGTGCCACAGCACCAGCCCTTCTTTTTGTTTTCGTTTTTTGTTAAGATTTATTCATTTGATGGGGCCGGCGCTGTGGTGCAGCGGGGAAAGCCACCGCCAGCAGCGCCAGCATCCCACATGGGTGCCGGTTCGAGTCCCGGCTGCTCCACTTCTGATCCAGCTCTCTGCTGTGGCCTGGGAAAGTCCTGGGGCCCCTGCACCCTCATGGGAGACCAGAAAGAAGCTCCGGGCTCCTGGCTTCAGATCTGCCCAGCTCCGGCCGTTGCGGCCAACTGGGGAGTGAACCAGCGGATGGAGACCTCTCTCTCTAACTCTGCCTTTCAAATAAATAAATAATTCTTAAAAAAAAAAAAAAAAAAAAAAAAAAAAAAAAAAAGCACATTCCAGGCCACAGCACCTGCGAGGGCTGGACGCTGTGCGTCCCAGGGCTCCGGCGTGGGCCGCGCGGTCCCAGCGTGGCAGCACCGGGAGGCGGCCCTGGAGGGGGCGCGGGGAGCTCCGCGTGCGCAGGTGGGCACGCAGCACCCTGCTCCTCGGGACGCCCCCCACCGCTGCGGCCCGGCTCCAGCCCTGGCGCCTCCACTTCCCACCCAGTGCCCGGCTGACCCAGACCCTGGGAAGCGGCAGGGACGGCCCGTCTCCGCCTGGGAGAGCAGATGGAGCGCCGGCTCCCGGGTCAGCCTGCTCAGCCCCGGCTGTTGCAGCCGCTCTGGGGAAGGAACCAGCAGGCAGAAGCTCGCTCTCGCTCTCACTCTCCCTCCCCCCCTCGCTCTCTCTGCTGCGAGACACTCAGAGGGGGAGGGCAGGGCTGGGCGATGAGGACCAGGCAGGGCCCCCCGCCCCCACCTGGCCTCCCCGCGGGCGGGGGTCCCGGGGCCGCCCTCCGCCCTCCGCCCTCCGCCCCCTGCCCTCTGCCCCCTGGCGCTGCTCAGCGCGCTCTGGCATTTTCAGACCCTGACAAAAGCGGGGCCTCCGCGCGGCAACACGAGCACCTCTGGTCCCCGGGGGAGGGGGAGGGCAGGTCCCAGGGCGAGGACGGGACGGCCCGGGGGCCTGAGGGCGGGCCCTGCGGTGTCTGGGGGAGGCCACGTCCCTGCTGATGCGCCGGGGGGCCGCACCACCTGCGCAGGAGACCCGGATGGAGCCCCTGGCTCCTGGCTCTGCCTGGCCTGGCCCAGCCCTGGCCGCTGTGGCCACGCGGGGAGTGACCCAGCAGGCCACGGGCGTCCCGGCTGCTCCACGCCCAGCCCAGCCCTGGCTGACGGCCCTGGGGAGACCGGGCAGCCCCTGGCCCGGCTCAGCCTGGCCTGGACCCCGCGGCGGCTGCCGTTTGGGGGTGGGTGAGGCAGAGGCAGCTCTCGCTCCGCCTTTCACAGACAGACCGGGGCAGTGCCCGCCCGAGACGGACGCCTGCTGGACACCTGCTCCCGCCGCTGCACCTCCCAGCGTCCCCAACTCGGGCGCGCACCCCAAAGCGGAGCGGGGCGAGCACTTCCGGTACGGACTCAGGAGCGACTGCGGGGGCGGGGCGGCGCACAAGCGAGGGGGCGCTCGGGGACCTCAGGACGGAAGCCCACTCACCCCCATCCGGCGCGCACCACTAGCCCTGCAGAGACCCCCACTCCCCAGGCCACAGGAAGCAAGGCCGAGGCGGCCAGGCCCTGCTCTCGGGTCTGTCCCAGCAGTTGGTTTCAGAAGCGCCCGGCTGCAGGGCAGCCGAGGCCGGGGACACAGCCGGAGGCCGGCACTCCGGGATCACGCAGCGCGGAGCGAGCCCGGGGCCCAGCCAGAGGCGGCAGGAACGAGACGCCCCCGCGCGCTCGCCGGGCAGAGGCGGCCGGAGCCGAGAACACCGCCGGACCTCAGGGAACAGCAGGGCTCAGGCACCAGACAGCGGCTACAGTCCAGCCGGGCCCTGCAACCACGGAACGCGGTGCCCCGGTCCACGTGCTCTGTCCCCTCTGAACTCCACCCTGACACTCCCTGCCCCCACGACAGGCGGGAAGAGCGCGCGCAGGGCCGCGGCTGCGCGTCAGGTCTGGGGGTCCGCGGGGCGAGGCCTCCGGAGCCCCCGGCCCTCCACGGCCGAGCCACAGCGACCACGTTCCTGCGTGTCTCGCCCGTGGACGTGTGCTCGACTGAGCTATTCGAAGGCAGGGGAGGTCGCCCACCCGCTGTTCACCCCAAATGCCCACAACAGCCAGGGCGGGGCGGGGCTGTGCCAGGTGCTCCATCCGCGCCCCCGCGTGCGCGGCCAGAACCGGCCCCGGTCACCGCCCCCGCGCCCCTGCCCGCGTCCCGGTCACCGCCGCCCCCTGCCCTCGTCCAGGTCACCGCCGCCGCACCCCTGCCCTCTTCCCGGTCACCGCCGCCGCGCCCCTGCCCACGTCCCGGTCACCGCCGCCTCCCCCCTGCCCTCGTCCAGGTCACCGCCGCCCCCCTGCCCGCGTCCAGGTCACCGCCGCCACCCCCCTGCCCACGTCCAGGTCACCACCGCCGCGCCCCTGCCCTCGTCCCGGTCACCACCGCCGCGCCCCTGCCCACGTCCCGGTCACCGCCGCCGCACCCCTGCCCTCGTCCAGGTCACCGCCGCCGCACCCCTGCCCACGTCCAGGTCACCGCCGCCTCCCCCCTGCCCACGTCCCGGTCACCGCCGCCTCCCCCCTGCCCTCCTCCAGGTCACCGCCTCCCCCCTGCCCTGGTCCCGGTCACCGCCGCCGGCCCCCTGCCCACGTCCAGGTCACCGCCACCGCCCCCCTGCCCACGTCCCGGTCACCGCTGCCGCGCCCCTGCCCACCTGAGACCCGTGCGCGCTCAGTACAGCAGCGGCCAGCGCGGGACGACACCTGGGCGCCAGCACCCCTGCCCGGGGTCCGCGAGTCCACAGGAAAGCGCGCAGCAGGGCGGCGGGCACCGGGCAGGGGGTCACCGCTGACGCCCCTCCCCCCCACGCCTGAAACCCGAGCGCTGGCCTCGGCGCCCCTCCGACGGGCACACCGACTCGGGCGGGGGGTCCCCTCCCCCAGGGCCGGAAGCACCCAGGGCCGGAAGCACCAGGGCCGGAGGCGGGCCGGAGGCGGGCGCTGCGGAGACCCACGCGGCCGGGCACTCCGGGCCCGGCGGCTCCCGCCCGCGGAGCGCACCCCGGGGAGGCAGTGCGGGCCCAGCCACCCACGTGGGAGCCTGCGCTGAGTTCCCGGGGCACGGGGCGCCCATGTCCCTCCAAGCTGATTCAGTTCAGCCTGGGCAGCGGCCTTGCCCGCGCCGAGCCCCTCTCCCGCCCAGGGCTCGGGCCCCCGGCCCCCGGCCCCCCACCCCCATCCGGCCTGCCCCGAAAGCGGTCAGCGCCCCCCCGCCCCCTCCCCCGCGCCGGCTACTTCTCCTCCCCCCACCAGGGGTCGTCGTGCCCGCCTCGGCGCAGCCCCTCGGAGACCGACCCTCCCCCCGCCACGCCAGACCCAGGCCCCTCTTGGCCGTCCGGACGGGCGCCCCGGCGCCAGCCTCCCGCCCCCACGGCCCAGCCGGGCCCCACTGGCACGCCGCCTCGCCGACCCCTCGGGGCCCGGGCCGGGGGCGGGAGGCGGGCCGGCCGGGGGCGCGGCGCCGCGGGCCGTTACCTGGGCTGCGGCCCGGAACACTGACTCGCCGCCATCTTAGCGTCTTCCTCGAGCCGCCGGCCGTGACGTCACCGGCCCCGCCCCCGCGCCGCGTGCCGCCGGCGCCGCGCGGCCCGCCCCCCGCGGAAGTCGCCCCTTCCCAGCCACTCAGAGCGGCGCTTCCCCACGCAGGCCCCGTCCAGGCCGCAAAGCCCCGCCCCCTCCCGGAGCCCGCCGGCCTTTAACCACTGGGACGCGCGGCGCGGCGCGCAAGCCCCGCCCCAGGCCCCGCCTTCCGCCTAACGGCTCGGGCCCAGTGGGCGGGGCTCTGCGCCCGGGCCCCAGGCCCCGCCCCCGGCCGGCGTCCCACCTTCCTGTCGCGGTTTGGGCGGGATCTCGGGACCGCGCACCCCTGACCCGCCTGGACAGGAGCGTGGAGATGCCGGCTGCTGACCTGGTCCTTGGGGCATAAATAAATAATTTTGCGAACGAGTGTGACTCTGCGAGAGCTGCTGGCACGGACGGGGCCGCGGTTCACTCCCCAGACGCGAGCCTTGGGCGGCAGGGACCCAGGCACCCAGGCCATCACCTGCTGTCCCCGGGGTGCGCATCACAGCCGGAGCCGGCAGCGGAGCGGGCACTGGGACCCTGCGCTCCCACGCGGGGAGGGCTCCACGGGGCGGAGTAGGGGCTCCACGGGGCGGGGGGAGGGCTCCACGGGGCGGAGGGGACTCTACGGGGAAGGGGGAGGGCTCCACGGGGCGGGGTGAGGGGCCCTGCGCTCCCACGCGGGGTGAGGGCTCCGCGGGGCGGGGTGAGGGGCTCCACGGGGCGTGGGGAGGGCTCCACGGAGCGGAGTAGGGGCTCCACGGGGGGGGAGGGCTCCACGGGGCGGGGTGAGGGGCTCCACGGGGCGTGGGGAGGGCTCCCACGTGGGGTGAGGACTCCACAGGGCGGGGGAAGGGCTCCCATGCAGGGTGAGGGCTCCACGGGGCAGGGGGAGGGCTCCACAGGGCGGGGGGAGGGCTCCCAAGCGGGGGGAGGGCTCCCACGCGGGGTGAGGGCTCCACGGGGTGGGGGGAGTGCTCCCACGTGGGGTGAGGACTCCACAGGGCGGGGGAAGGGCTCCCACGCGGGTGAGGGCTCCACGGGGCAGGGGGGAGGGCTCTACGCAGCCCTGACTGCTGCCCCTCAGCTCCCTGACCCTGGAGGACGGGGGGGGGGGGGGGGGGGGCTCAGATACAAGCAGGCGCCGCGGGGGGCAGGCCCGGAGGGGGGGGGGCTCGTTCCGCTTGGACAGAGCCACGGAGACCCCACGGGCTGGGGAGCCACGCGGGGGACCGCGCTCAGGGCCCTGTTCCATCCGTGTACTGACCCTGCGTGGCAGCAGCCTCGGACGGGAAGGTCTGGCAAACAGCGCCCCCCCCCCCGCCCTGGCAGAGCCCCCCACGCTAATTACACGCCCCTCCCCCACTACACCCGGCCCCCTCCTCCATTACACACGGCCCCCTCCCCCATTGCACACCGCCCCTCCCAGCCCCTGATTACACATGCCCCTCCCCTGATTACACAACAGCCCCCTCCCCCGTTACACAGCCCCTCCCCCATTACACGGCCCCTCCCGGCCCCTGCCCTTCTAACAGGGACGGGCGCGGCCCCCCGCACCAGGGCGGCGTGTTTCAGGGTCTCTGGGTTGCACAGGCTTCCTCCCTAATTGTTCTTTATCACCAGCATTGCGCTGAGTGCGCGCCACACCCAACCGCACGCAGTCCCCACGGCACAGCTCACACAGGGCGGCGGTTCCGGTGCCCGGAGCCCTCCCCCGCGTGGGAGCTCAGAGTCCCCGACCCCGCCGGTGGGGCCCTCCCCCGCGTGGGAGCGCAGCTCTGCTTCCGGCCCCGTGGGGCCCTCCCCCATGTGGGAGCGCAGGGTCCCGACCCCGCCCGTGGGGCCCTCCCCCGCGTGGGAGCTCAGGGTCCCCGACCCCGCCCGTGGGGCCCTCCCCCGCGTGGGAGCTCAGAGTCCCCGACCCCGCCCGTGGGGCCCTCCCCCGCGTGGGAGCGCAGCTCTGCTTCCGGCCCCGTGGGGCCCTCCCCCATGTGGGAGCGCAGGGTCCCGACCCCGCCCGTGGGGCCCTCCCCCGCGTGGGAGCGCAGGGTCCCGACCCCGCCCGTGGGGCCCTCCCCCGCGTGGGAGCTCAGGGTCCCCGACCCCGCCCGTGGGGCCCTCCCCTGCGTGGGAGCGCAGGGTCCCCGACCCCGCCCGTGGGGCCCTCCCCCGCGTGGGAGCTCAGGGTCCCCGACCCCGCCCTGTGGGGCCCTCCCCTGCGTGGGAGCTCAGGGTCCCCGACCCCGCCCTGTGGGGCCCTCCCCTGCGTGGGAGCTCAGGGTCCCCGACCCCGCCCGTGGGGCCCTCCCCCGCGTGGGAGCGCAGGGTCCCGACCCCGCCCGTGGAACCCTCAGGGTCCCCGACCCGGCCCGTGGGGCCCTCCCCCGCGTGGGAGCGCAGCTCTGCTCCCCCCCCCAGCGCCCTGCGAGGCGGTGGCGGCCCAGGCACGGGCCCTGGGAAGAAGCCCAGCCCGGGCTGTCGGGGCGTTTGGGGGTGAATGGGCGCTCGCGCGCGCTCTCGCTCTCTCTGTATGTGTGTGTCTGCCTCTAAATAAACATCTATATAACACAGACCGCAGACACGCGGAGCAGCTCGGCGCACGGGATTCAGCACCACGGGCAGCTCCTAGGGCGCCCGGCCGCCCACCCCGCCCCTCGCTGGACGAGGCCAGACGCCCTTGCCCACGCCCTGCACGGGCAGCGGCCTGGCTGTCCCCTCCCAGGGTCTCTCGGGACAGGTCCACGTCTCCAGCCAGGACGCGGGAGGCCCAGGCCCGTGGGCTCTTTCTTCCCTTTGGGACCCATGGCCCTGCGTGGGGAGCAGACCCCGTGCAGCGAGCGAGGCCACCGCCCACGCTCGGGGCCGCCGGAGGTCCCCAGAGGAGCCGGCGCGGGCGCGGGGTCCCCCTGCCGCGCGCTGCCGCCCTGTGCGGAGGCAATCCCACCGTCTGGAAATTCACATTCCAGCAAGGCGAGGGGCAGAGACCAGGAGAAGTAGGAAAAGCAGCAGCCAGCCCCGTGTCGCCCGGACTCCGCGTCCCACACCAGCACCGGTTCCATCCTGGCTGCTCACCTCCCCGCTAATGCTCCCGGGAGAGAGGCCGTGACGGCACAGGTGCTTGGCCTCTGCCCACCCGCGTGGGAGACCCAGCTCCTGGCTTGGGCCTGGCCCAGCCCTGGCCGTTGTGGCCATTGGAGGAGTGAACCAGCAGCTGGAAGATACTTCTCTCACTCTGCCTTTCAAATAAATAAAATAAATCTTTAAAATAAAATATGGGGGCCAGTGCTGTGGCGTGGTGGGTAAAGCCCCAGCCTGCAGCGCCGGCATCCCATATGGGTGCTGGGTCAAGTCCCGGCTGCTCCACTTCCAGTCCGGTTCCCTGCTGTGGCCTGGGAGAGCAGTGGACGAGGGCCCAAGCCCTTGGGCCCCTGCACCCGCGTGGGAGACCCGGATGGAGCTCCTGGCTCCTGGCTTCGGATCAGCCCAGCTCCAGCAGCCATTTGGGGAGGGACCCAGCGGGTGGAAGACCTCTCCCCTACCCTCTCTCTCTACTTCCAGACAGAGATTTACTTACATATTTCTTTTCTTTCTTTTTTTGTTTTATTCTGAAACATGGGTAGACCCATTTATATGGGGAATTTGATACACAAGAGAGCCAGTATTTTATTTTTATTTTTATTTTTTGGACAGGCAGAGTTAGACAGTGAGAGAGAGACAGAGAAAGGTCTTCCTTTGCCGTTGGTTCACCCTCCAATGGCCACCACGGCCGGCGCACCGCGCTGATCCGATGGCAGGAGCCAGGTGCTTCTCCTGGTCTCCCATGGGGTGCAGGGCCCAGGCACTTGGGCCATCCTCCACTGCACTCCCGGGCCACAGCAGAGAGCTGGCCTGGAAGAGGGGCAACCGGGACAGAACCCAGCACCCACCCCGACCAGGACTAGAACCCGGTGTGCCGGTGCTGCAGGCGGAGGATTAGCCTAGTGAGCCACGGCGCTGGCCTCTTATATATTTCTTTACTTTATTTTTTTTTTTTAAATCTTTTTTTTTTTTTTTTTTTTTTTTTTTTTTGACAGGCAGAGTGGACAGTGAGAGAGAGAGACAGAGAGAAAGGTCTTCCTTTGCCATTGGTTCACCCTCCAATGGCTGCCGCGGCCAGCGCGCTGCGGCCGGCGCACCGCGCTGATCTGATGGCAGAAGCCAGGAGCCAGGTGCTTTTCCTGGTCTCCCATGGGATGCAGGGCCCAAGCACTTGGGCCATCCTCCACTGCACTCCCTGGCCACAGCAGAGGGCTGGCCTGGAAGAGGGGCAACCCGGACAGAATCCGGCGCCCCGACCGGGACTAGAACCCGGTGTGCCGGCGCCGCTAGGCGGAGGATTAGCCTAGTGAGCCGCGGCGCCGGCCTATTTCTTTACTTTAAACACAGAGTGACAGAGACGGAGAGTCAGAGAGGGATTTTCCATCCGCTGGTTCACTCCCCAATAGCTGTAATTGCCAGAAACTGGCCAGGCCAAAACCAGGAGCCAGGACTCCATCCCGGTCTCCCACACGGGTGCAGGGGCCCAAGGGCTTGGGCCATCGTCCACTGCTCTCCCAGGCCACAGCAGAGAGCTGGGTCGGAAGTGGAGCAGCTGGGACTGGAACCGGCGCCCATGTGGGATGCCCGCACTGCAGGCTGGGGCTTCACCCGCGGTGCCGCAGCGCGGGCCCATTGGCAGCTTGCTCTCATAAGTAAGCACCTGGTCATTGGATCTGGGGCCCACCCTAATCCAGGATCGACATCTCTCACTTAATTCCATCTGCAAAGGCCTTTTATCCAAAGACGGCTGACTGCACTCGTCCCCACTGACTCTCAGCTGTGCCTCTGTCGGGGCCGGCGGGCACCATCTGGGCCCCCGCAGGGCCTCAAGGTGGACAACCGGCGCGGGTAGAGGGGCGGTCAGCACCCTTCCCCGTCTCATTCCATCCGGACACGTGTCACGGGGGAAGGGAGGCCCGCACCACGAGATGCTTCACCCCTACATCCCTCAGCCAGGGAGTGGCCAGGCCGGGGCAAGCCCACTCCCCGTCCAAGTGCAGGTGCCTGGCCCTGCCCCTCGCCTCCCGGACCCCAGCTCCCCCGCGGGGCAGCGCCCAACTGCAGGGGGCGCCGCGCCCAGGGCAGCTCAGAGCCAGCGCGCCAGAGACCCTCCCACCTCGCTGGCCCCAGCCCGGCTCCTTCCACGGCGAGGGGCCTCCAGGCGCACCCACGCACAAGGGGCTGGTGCGGCTGGGGTTTCCCAAAGGCAAGGAGCCCCACGCCCGCGCCCCCTGTCCCGATGGAGCCGGGCCATCGCGGCCGTCGGTTTCCCCAACGCGCCCTTGTTTTGTTTTTCAATCCGAGGTGCGCCATCGGGACCGCGTCTCTGCGGCTGCCCCCGGCGCGGCCCTCGCGGATGCTGCCCGCGCAGCCAATGGGGAGCCGCGGATGCGGGCAGGGGCCGCGCGCTCCGCTCGGGCCCGGCCCCGCCCACGGCCCGCCCCCTGCCCTGAACACCGAGCGGCTCCCGCAGCCGCTTGCGGGCAGCCCAGCCCCTGCCAGCCGCGAGCCGCGAGCCGCGAGCCGCGAGCCGGGAGGACAGACCGCGGAGGCTTCGGAGCCGCGGGGACCCGGCACGCAGCCGCCGCTGAGCCAGCGCCGCCTCCCCCTCCCGGACAAAGGCGCCCCCGCGCCCCGGGTGACCTTCCCGGAGGTAGGGTCCGCCCTTCAGAGCGGCTGTCCGCCTCGGTTGTTCGGCGGGCCCGCGCTTTGTATGCCAGGGCCAGGGGCCGCCGCCGCCCCGCAGGTGAGCGCCCCCTCCCCCGCGTTTAGCCAGGGGCTGCGTTCTCCGGCCCCAGTCCGCCCCCGGCGGCGAGAGCAGGGGTCTTCGCGAGCCCGGCTCTGCCGCTGGCACATCCTGCAGCCAGCCGGCCCTTGGCGAGGGCCACGGTTCCCCCACCCCCACCCCCGCCCCGGCACCATTTTCAGAGTCCGGGCCCGCACGCCGAGGAAATCCTGTGGCCAGCGGCGCGGGAGCGAGCTGACAAACGTGTCGCAAGGCAGCGCTCCGGGTGTCGGGAGGGACGAGGGCTCCGGAGGGGTGCGCGCCTCGGGGGCCCGCCGCGCCCCGGGCCTGGGGGTGGGGATCGCGGCGCCTGCGTCTGGGCTGGGGGACCCCTGGGCTGGTGCGGGGCTTGGTCACACCCGGCTCAGGATCCGGCAGCGCGGACAGCAAAAACAGCCCAGGGCCTCCCGGGGAGCCCGGGCCTCTGCCCACCGCGGGCAGTCGCCTGCGAGCGGGACGGGGGCCGACGCTGCCCGGAGCGGAAGCCAGGAGCGATTTTCCCCCTGGGCCGCTTCCAACCGGCCCTCCTCCATGAATGAGTGACGACATTCCGGGGAGGGGGCAGGCGGTGCTCCGTGCTTGCTCTCACCTGAAGCCGGGAGAGGCCCCACTCTGACTCCAGCCCCCTCTCCCCCCCAGCCCACCTGCCTCTGGCCTCAGGCCGCGCCCCCGCCTCTCCTGCCATCCCATTCATACCCCAGGCGGCCAGCCGCGGGGGCTGCAGGGACACACCCCATCTGTGGTGGCAGCCGGGGTGGGACGTCACAGCGCGGGTGCTGGGTGAAACGTGCCCAGGGCAGAGCCCAGAGCCGTTCGTGGATGGGGGTGCCTGGAAGAGCCCCTCCCTGGAAGACAGGGTCTGTGGACGGGGGGCCAGCGCATGGGCCAGCACAGGGGGCACAGCTGCACCGGCCCCCCCCCCGCCCCGGGGGGGGAGTGGACAGACATTGTCGAGTGTGCTCCGGGCAGGGGGAGTGGGCCGCAGGGTCCTGGTTTCAAAGCGCAGGACAGGTGCGGGGGCAGGTCCCGAGGACCCAGCAGGGAGAGGGAGGCTCTGGGAGGGGCACTTCCTCCGCTCGCCCCCTGCCCTGCACCTGCCTGGTCAGTTCCTCAGGGTAAAACTGGTTCTGTGCGGCCGGCAGCGCGCTCATCCCCCCCCCCGCCCAGTTTCCGCCCACCCTGCCTGCGTGAGCCCTGGCCTCAGCGGCTGTCAGGAGGCGGGCAGGTGGCTGGGAGTGGACAGCACGGCTGGAGTGGCCCAGGGCACCAGGGGAAGCTTAGGTGTATCCCCGGGTGGGGGGGGATGGGTCTGCCTGGGGCGTGGCCTTCACTGGAGGGGGGGGAGCCGGCCTCCAAGTTCAAGTCCACACTCAGCTCTGAGTGTCCCCCCCTGGGCTTTCACCTGGACCTGGGGCTGCCGCCTGCTGGATTCCCGCCTAATGAGACCCATTCCCTGGCCCTGCAAGGCCCAGCGCTGCTCGGAGCCGGCGCCTCCCCAGCGCTCCCATGGGGACCACGGAAGCCACACTCCGCATGGAGAACATGGACGTGACGCAGGAGTGGCAGGACGAGGAGCTGCCCAGGTAGGCCCCCGCTCCCCGACTCCTGCCCGTGGACGGTTCCTGGGCCACGAGGGTGGCCGGCCTGGCTCCTGTGGGACCTTGGCCTCGTCCCCCGCAGCTCCCCTGGGGCCCACGGCTCTGTCCTGACCCCTGTCTGTGGCCTCGGGGTGTGCGCCGTATTTGCTAAATTCTGTGAGATGGGTTTCCCCGAGAACCCCGCCCTGCGCTGTGTAAGAACCACAAGGCTCCTCCAAAGCCACCTCACGGCCGTCACTGTATTCCTGGCCGCGTTCTGGGTTCCTGGTGCCCGGGTGAACCCAGGCGGCAGCCGGAAACACCAAGTCTCAGCTCTGCCCCGCCGCCCTGGGGAGCCCCACGCGGCCTCCTCACCCCCACCGCTGCCCGCGTCCCCGTGCGGCCTCCTCACCCCCTCGCTGCTGGGGGCCGACCCGGGTCAGGCTGGGGTCGTCTGCTGCAGCTGGAAGCCGACCCCGCCACCTCACACGCCGTGGGAGCCCGTTCTGGGCTGCGCCAGTGCACGCCTGCAGCGGGCTCGGGCCATGAGGCAAAGCGCTGCCGCTGGCCCAGTGCACGGCATGGGCTCGTGGCTGGTGGTGGGGCTCATGGCTGGTGTGTGGGCTCGTGGCTGGTGGGGCTCATGGCTGATGGTGTGAGCTCATGGCTGGTGGTGGGGCTCATGGCTGGTGTGTGGGCTCGTGGCTGGCGTGCGGGCTCATGGCTGATGGTGTGGGCTCATGGCTGGTGGTGTGGGCTCATGGCTGGTGGTGGGGCTCATGGCTGGTGTGTGGGCTCGTGGCTGGCGTGCGGGCTCATGGCTGATGGTGTGGGCTCATGGCTGGTGGTGTGGGCTCATGGCTGGTGGTGGGGCTCATGGCTGGTGTGTGGGCTCGTGGCTGGCGTGCGGGCTCATGGCTGATGGTGTGGGCTCATGGCTGGTGGTGGGGGCTCATGGCTGGTGGTGGGGCTCGTGGCTGGTGTGTGGGCTCATGGCTGATGGTGTGGGCTCATGGCTGGTGGTGGGGCTCATGGCTGGTGGTGGGGGCTCGTGGCTGGTGGTGGGGCTCGTGGCTGGTGTGTGGGCTCATGGCTGATGGTGTGGGCTCATGGCTGGTGGTGGGGCTCATGGCTGGTGGTGTGGGCTCATGGCTGGTGGCAGCTTGTGGCTGGTGGCAGGGGCTCGTGGCTGGTGTGTGGGCTCGTGGCTGGTGTGTGGGCTCATGGCTGGTGGTGTGGGCTCGTGGCTGGTGTGTGGGCTCATGGCTGGTGGTGGGGCTCATGGCTGATGGTGTGGGCTCATGGCTGGTGGTGGGGCTCATGGCTGGTGGTGGGGCTCATGGCTGGTGGTGCGGGCTCATGGCTGGTGGTGTGGGCTCATGGCTGGTGGCAGCTTGTGGCTGATGGTGTGGGCTCATGGCTGGTGGTGCGGGCTCATGGCTGGTGGTGTGGGCTCATGGCTGGTGGCAGCTTGTGGCTGATGGTGTGGGCTCATGGCTGGTGGTGTGGGCTCATGGCTGGTGGTGCGGGCTCATGGCTGGTGGTGTGGGCTCATGGCTGGTGGGGGGGCTCGTGGCTGGTGGTGTGGGCTCATGGCTGGTGGCAGCTTGTGGCTGGTGGCGGGGGCTCGTGGCTGGTGGCCAGGGCAGGAGTGGATGAAGGGGGCAGGTGGGGCTGGGGCCAGCATTGCATAAACAGGAAGTCGCTGGGGTCCCACAGAGCCAGTTCACCTCTGCCTGTGATGGCGCCTCCCACGAGGGCCCACCTCCACTTTTAGGAGTTTACGTGCAGGGCGGAACGACTGAGACAGAGAGAGCCCTCCAACTGCTGGTTCACTCCCCAGTGCTCACAACGGCAGGGGTGGGCCAGGCTGAAGCCAGGAGCCCCCTTGGGGGGCAGGATGGGGGGTGGGCACCCTCGGGGTCACAAATCACGTGGGAGGGACATTGTGTGCACTCGCTGTGGAGACCAGGGTCTGATTCCTGCGCGTGGACAGTGCACAAGTGCCCCCCATCCCTGCTGGCCCATGCCCAAGAGGGGGCTACAGAGAGAGAGAGGGAGAGAGAGAGATGGAGAGCTCCCATCCGCTGGTTCACTCCCCAAATGCCTGCAAGGCCGGAGCTGGGCCAGGCGGAAGCCGGGAGCCAGGAGCTGCATCCGGGTCTCCCACGCGGGTGCAGGAGCCCAGGCACTTGAGCCACTGCTGCGTCTCCCAGGGTGGGCGCGCAGGGCGCTGGGACTGACCCCAGGCACTCAGATCTGGGGTGCAGCGTCCGCACTCCGCCCAACCTCTGCCGCTCCCGGGGACCTAGACCCCGCGCAGGGCCACACCGAGTGCGCTCACGCCTTTACTAGGAGCGCGGCCCGCTGCCTCTTCCCGCCCCAGCCCCGAGTTCTGGCGACAGAGGGGACGTGCGCGTCTGCACCTGCCCGGAGAGCGGGGGTGGGGCCCTCTCCCCCGGCCCCCAGCGCCCGGAGACAGGGGCGGCTCTGTGAGCGCTGGCCACCAGCGACAGGGCTTCCCCCGCGGGCGCCCGGCTTCCCCGTCTTGGAGAGCCGGAGACCAGCTGCTGCGCACAAAGGCGCCTCTGTCAGGGCCGGACAGGCCCGGGTCTGTGCCTCGCTGTCCGGATCCGCCCCCGGGGCCGAGCTGGGGAGGGACTCACGGCGCACTCTTCCGCCCAGACCTGCTCCGCCCGCAGGCATTCACGCTGCGGGCCCCAGGCACGGCCTGCGCGCGGGGACCCCCACCCCCACCCCCGCGCCGCTCCCCGCGCTTCCCGGGGCTCAGGGCTCTGCACCTGCGCGACCAGCCGCCAGGGGGCGGCAGACAGCAGTGACCGCGGGGAGGGCGGAGGATCAAAACCGAGTGGACGCCCAAAGGCAATGGAAGCACCTGTCCACGCGACCCCCACGCGGGACTTCCCGCGCAGTAGCAGGAGCCGCACGAGCCAACAGAGGGGGCAGACAGGGCGCGGGGAGCACGACGCAGCGCCAGGGCCTCAGCTGGGCAGGACGCCTGCTGCACCTGTTAGCAAATTTCAGCTCCACTCTCGCTTCAGAAGCAGCTTGTACATTTTATTTAATTTTTTTTGACAGGCAGAGTGGACAGTGAGAGAGAGAGACAGAGAGAAAGGTCTTCCTTCCGTTGGTTCACCCCCCACATGGCCATCACCGCCGGCGCACGGCGCCAATCCGATGGCAGGAGTCAGGTGCTTCTCCTGGTCTCCCATGGGGTGCAGGGCCCAAGCACTTGGGCCATCCTCCACTGCACTCCCGGGCCACAGCAGAGAGCTGGCCTGGAAGAGGGGCAGCCGGGACTGGAACCTGCGCCCTATGGGATGCGGGCGCTGCAGTGCCGGCCCCCCAAATATCTCCTAAGGAAACAAGAGGGGATGAAATAAACATTCCCCGCCCCCGCCTTCCGGCGCGGGAGTCTGCTGACTCGGCAGGGCCCTGCAGCTGGGATGTAAAAGGCCCAGCGCAGAACCCGGAGCCAGGGACGGCCTGGGCGGCACAGGCTCCGCTGGGAGCTGGCAGGGGCGCGCGGGGCAGCCCGGCCCTCGGTTTCTCCCCGCAGCCTTCCCTCCGGGTCTCTGGGTCCCCGTGAACGGAACAACGCTGTCTCCCAGTCCAGGCCTCACCGGGGTTGAGACCCTGTTGGCCGGTCCATCTGAGAGGCCGTGGTCCCACACACACGGGCGTCTCGAGCGCTGGGCCACCACCTGTGCCCCCACTCGGATCTGCTTGGGCTGCTCCCCCCGGGACCCCGCGGGACACTTCCTGGTCCCCTCTCGCGGCCGTGGGAGAACGGGTCAGGGCTGCAGACGGCCCCTCGACTGGCCAGACAGGCGCTGGTCTTCAGGGGGAAGACACGGGGGCGGGGAGCCTGAACCCCAGTCTCAGAGGTGGAAGGCGTGCGCGGCCCCCGCGGCCCCTGCACCTTCTCCCACCCGCGGCCACCACCCCATCCCCGTGTTTATCTGGCGGCTGGGCCGCGGACCCCACGGCTGACGGTGACGCAGCTCTGACACACTTGTCCCTGCACGTGAGGGACAAGGCCCCAGGGACAGCGGGCGCTCAGCCTAGCGGTGAAGCCCCTGCTTCCTTCCTCCTCCTGAAGGTTTGTGTGTTTATTTAAAGGCACAGCTACGCAGAGAGAGGGCGAGAGAGAGAGGTCTCTCATCCGCTGGTCCACTCCCCAAATGGCAGCAGTGGCCAGGGCTGGGCCAGGCCACAGCCAGGAGCCGGGAGCTGCGTCCGGGTCTCCCACGTGGGTGCAGGCCCAGCACCTGGGCCGTCCTCCACTGCCTTCCCAGGTGCATTACAGGGGCTGGACAGAAATGGAGCAGCCGGGACGGGAACTGGTGGTGTGACAGGTGGCAGCTCCACCTGCTGTGCCGCCGTGCTGGCCCTAACAGCGGAGAGGATATCTGTATTCCAGGTCCCAGTCCTGGGTCCCCTGACTCAGCCCCCGGCCGACGCCCACCCTGGGTCCCCCCGACTCAGCCCCCGGCCGACGCCCACCCTGGGTCCCCCCGACTCAGCCCCCGGCCGACGCCCACCCTGGATCCCCCCGACTCAGCCCCCAGCCGACACCTACCCTGGGTCCCCCCTGACTGCAGCCCCCGGCCGACGCCCACCCTGGGTTCCCCGACTCAGCTCCCAGCCGACGCCCACCCTGGGTCCCCCCCCCCTCAGCCCCCGGCCGACGCCCACCCTGGATCCCCCCGACTCAGCCCCCAGCCGACGCCCACCCTGGGTCCCCCCGACTCAGCCCCCAGCCGACGCCCACCCTGGGTCCCCCGACTCAGCCCCCAGCCGACGCCCACCCTGGGTCCCCCCGACTCAGCCCCCAGCTGACGCCCACCCTGGGTCCCCCGACTCAGCTGCCAGCTGATGCCCACCCTGGGTCCCCCCGACTCAGCCCCTGGCCAGCACCCACCCTGGGTCCCTCCGACTCAGCCCCTGGCCGACGCCCACCCTGGGTCCCCCCGACTCAGCCCCCAGCTGACGCCCACCCTGGGTCCCCCGACTCAGCTGCCAGCTGATGCCCACCCTGGGTCCCCCCGACTCAGCCCCTGGCCAGCACCCACCCTGGGTCCCTCCGACTCAGCCCCCGGCCGACACCCACCCTGGGTCCCCCTGACTCAGCCCCCAGCCGACACCCACCCTGGGTCCCCCTGACTCAGCCCCCGGCCGGCGCCCACCCTGAGTCCCCCCCTGACTCAGCCCCTGGCCGACACCCACCCTGGGTCCCCCCGACTCAGTCCCTGGCCGGCACCCACCCTGGGTCCCCCCGACTCAGCCCCTGGCCGGCACCCACCCTGGGTCCCCCCGACTCAGCCCCTGGCCGGCGCCCACCCTGAGTCCCCCCCCCGACTCAGCCCCTGGCCGGCACCCACCCTGGGTCCCCCCGACTCAGCCCCTGGCCGGCACCCACCCTGGGTCCCCCCGACTCAGCCCCTGGCCGGCACCCACCCTGGGTCCCCCCGACTCAGCCCCTGGCCGGCACCCACCCTGGGTCCCCCCGACTCAGCCCCCGGCCGGCGCCCACCCTGAGTCCCCCCCTGACTCAGCCCCCGGCCGGCGCCCACCCTGGGTCCCCCTGACTCAGCCCCTGGCCCACACCCACCCTGGGTCCCCCCGACTCAGCCCCTGGCCGGCACCCACCCTGGGTCCCCCCGACTCAGCCCCTGGCCGGCGCCCACCCTGAGTCCCCCCCCCGACTCAGCCCCTGGCCGGCACCCACCCTGGGTCCCCCCGACTCAGCCCCTGGCCGGCACCCACCCTGGGTCCCCCCGACTCAGCCCCTGGCCGGCACCCACCCTGGGTCCCCCCGACTCAGCCCCTGGCCGGCACCCACCCTGGGTCCCCCCGACTCAGCCCCTGGCCGACACCCACCCTGGGTCCCCCTGACTCAGCCCCCGGCCGGCGCCCACCCTGAGTCCCCCCCTGACTCAGCCCCCGGCCGGCGCCCACCCTGGGTCCCCCCGACTCAGCCCCTGGCCGGCACCCACCCTGGGTCCCCCCCGACTCAGCCCCCGGCCGACGCCCACCCTGGATCCCCCCGACTCAGCCCCTGGCCCACACCCACCCTGGGTCCCCCTGACTCAGCCCCTGGCCGGCACCCACCCTGGGTCCCCCCGACTCAGCCCCTGGCCGGCGCCCACCCTGAGTCCCCCCCCCGACTCAGCCCCTGGCCGGCACCCACCCTGGGTCCCCCCGACTCAGCCCCTGGCCGGCACCCACCCTGGGTCCCCCCGACTCAGCCCCTGGCCGGCACCCCCCTGGGTCCCCCCGACTCAGCCCCTGGCCGGCACCCACCCTGGGTCCCCCCGACTCAGCCCCTGGCCGGCACCCACCCTGGGTCCCCCCGACTCAGCCCCTGGCCGCACCCACCCTGGGTCCCCCTGACTCAGCCCCCGGCCGGCGCCCACCCTGAGTCCCCCCCTGACTCAGCCCCCGGCTGACGCCCACCCTGGGTCCCCCGACTCAGCCCCTGGCCCACACCCACCCTGGGTCCCCCCGACTCAGCCCCCGGCCGACGCCCACCCTGGGTCCCCCCGACTCAGCCCCTGGCCCACACCCACCCTGGGTCCCCCTGACTCAGCCCCCGGCCGGCGCCCACCCTGAGTCCCCCCCTGACTCAGCCCCCGGCCGACGCCCACCCTGAGTCCCCCCCTGACTCAGCCCCCGGCTGACGCCCACCCTGGATCCCCCCGACTCAGCCCCTGGCCCACACCCACCCTGGGTCCCCCCGACTCAGCCCCTGGCCGGCACCCACCCTGGGTCCCCCCGACTCAGCCCCCGGCCGGCGCCCACCCTGGGTCCCCCCGACTCAGCCCCCAGCTGACGCCCACCCTGGGTCCCCCCGACTCAGCTGCCAGCTGATGCCCACCCTGGGTCCCCCCGACTCAGCCCCTGGCCAGCACCCACCCTGGGTCCCTCCGACTCAGCCCCCGGCCGACACCCACCCTGGGTCCCCCTGACTCAGCCCCCAGCCGACACCCACCCTGGGTCCCCCTGACTCAGCCCCCGGCCGGCGCCCACCCTGAGTCCCCCCCTGACTCAGCCCCTGGCCGACACCCACCCTGGGTCCCCCCGACTCAGTCCCTGGCCGGCACCCACCCTGGGTCCCCCCGACTCAGCCCCTGGCCGGCACCCACCCTGGGTCCCCCCGACTCAGCCCCTGGCCGGCGCCCACCCTGAGTCCCCCCCCCGACTCAGCCCCTGGCCGGCACCCACCCTGGGTCCCCCCGACTCAGCCCCTGGCCGGCACCCACCCTGGGTCCCCCCGACTCAGCCCCTGGCCGGCACCCACCCTGGGTCCCCCCGACTCAGCCCCTGGCCGGCACCCACCCTGGGTCCCCCCGACTCAGCCCCCGGCCGGCGCCCACCCTGAGTCCCCCCCTGACTCAGCCCCCGGCCGGCGCCCACCCTGGGTCCCCCTGACTCAGCCCCTGGCCCACACCCACCCTGGGTCCCCCCGACTCAGCCCCTGGCCGGCACCCACCCTGGGTCCCCCCGACTCAGCCCCTGGCCGGCGCCCACCCTGAGTCCCCCCCCCGACTCAGCCCCTGGCCGGCACCCACCCTGGGTCCCCCCGACTCAGCCCCTGGCCGGCACCCACCCTGGGTCCCCCCGACTCAGCCCCTGGCCGGCACCCACCCTGGGTCCCCCCGACTCAGCCCCTGGCCGGCACCCACCCTGGGTCCCCCCGACTCAGCCCCTGGCCGACACCCACCCTGGGTCCCCCTGACTCAGCCCCCGGCCGGCGCCCACCCTGAGTCCCCCCCTGACTCAGCCCCCGGCCGGCGCCCACCCTGGGTCCCCCCGACTCAGCCCCTGGCCCACACCCACCCTGGGTCCCCCCGACTCAGCCCCCGGCCGACGCCCACCCTGGATCCCCCCGACTCAGCCCCTGGCCCACACCCACCCTGGGTCCCCCCGACTCAGCCCCCGGCCGACGCCCACCCTGGATCCCCCCGACTCAGCCCCTGGCCCACACCCACCCTGGGTCCCCCTGACTCAGCCCCCGGCCGGCGCCCACCCTGAGTCCCCCCCTGACTCAGCCCCCGGCCGACGCCCACCCTGAGTCCCCCCCTGACTCAGCCCCCGGCTGACGCCCACCCTGGATCCCCCCGACTCAGCCCCTGGCCCACACCCACCCTGGGTCCCCCCGACTCAGCCCCTGGCCGGCACCCACCCTGGGTCCCCCCGACTCAGCCCCCGGCCGGCGCCCACCCTGGGTCCCTGCCACCCGCGGGGGAGCCCACGCCGAGCTCTGAGCAGCCTTCCCAGGCACCGGGGGTGGCCCAGTGGACCCGAGCTCTGCCTCTCACGCTGAGCACGAGCTAGAGAGCACAGCACTCCAGGACCAAGGCTGCAGGCCCAGCGCAGAGGACTCCACTCGGATTCCCCAGGCCTGAGCAGCCGGCTCTGGCCGGGCCGCAGCCCCCAGGGTTGTGCGCGTCCGCGACTCCCAGCCCGCGCGCGAGCTCGCCGTGCTCTGCCCCAAGCAGAGAGGCGCTCGGGCCCAGCGCTAAGTGCGCTCTGTTCTTGTTTTGTCTGAACCCCTCGGCCGGACCCCGCCTGGCCACGCCACCCTCCTCTGGCTGGACGTTCCGGCGGCACTGCCCGGCCCGGCCGACGCCGCAGGCCGCTCCGGGAAGACACGGGGACGGAGTCGCTCGGCAGCGCGGCGGCGGACGCGGCCTGTAAGTTTCCGCGCGCGCCAGGCGTGTCTCTGCCGGGGCTGGGCCCGCAGACCCCAGAGGCCCTGCCGGGAACGGGAACGGGAACGGGAACGGGGAACGGGGCTGCCGGACTCCGGGGCCTGCGGGGGAAGGGCCGCGGGGGCGTGGCTGCGCGTGCCGAGCCACTCAGCCTGTCTGGGCCCCGGCCCGTTCCTCAGCTGCCAATCACAGCAAGTGAGCTTGTAAGGGTCAAAGAGGTGACGCGGGGCTGGCACTCAGCCCACAGGCCACGCCCCCATCCCCACAGGCCACACCCCATTCCACAGGCCACACCTCCGGCTCACAGACCATGCCCCCGCCCCACAGGCCACACCTCGCCCCACAGACCACGCCCTCGCCCCACAGGCCACTCCCCCAGCCCACAGGCCATACCCCAGCCTACAGGTCAGGGCCCCCACACCCCTGGCCCACAGGCCGCTCCTCCAGCCTGCAGGCTGCTCCCCCCAGCCCCACCCCCTGTCCACAGGCCACTCCCCCCACCTGCAGGCCACACCCCGGCCCACACCCCCTGTCCACAGGCCACGCCCCCGGTCCACAGTGGAGCGTTTGGATATAGTCCCCACCTCCCACTGCTGTCGCCAGCTCCCTGCGGGTCCACACCCTGCGAGGCTCAAGTGCCAGGGCCCCTGCCCCCCCCATGGAGACCCGGATGCAGCTCCCAGCCTCCGCCTGGCCCAGCCCTGGGGACTGCAGGCTCTCAGGGGGTGAACTAGTGCGTGGAAGACCCCTCTGTCACTCTGCCTTGCAGAAAGATAAGGTAGTAAGCGAACGAATGAGACTTTAAGGATGTTTAAATTCGCGGACTCAGAACCTGCCTGGGCCTCCTTAAATCAGCCGGGGGCCCAGGGGAGAAAGGCCCGACTGGGGGGGGGGGCCTGCAGGCGGCAGCGTCTTCCTGGGCCTCCACACCCGCAGTTACGGCTCCGGGCGGGCGGCTCCTCCCAGAAGGAAGCAAGAGCCCCCACCCCCACCCTGCGCCCCACAGCTCCGGAGCCTGGGGGGCAGACGCGGTGGGCTTTTCTCCTCAGGGCGGGTCCCTTTGGTGTGAGGCCTGGGGGTGGCCCTCTGGTGGTCCTCAGGGCCACGTGGCCACGCTGCGGGGCAGTGCCCCCCGGGCGGGGACCAGCCCTCAGTGTCCCGGTCACTGCTGGGCCCTCCCTGGGCGCCGACCAGGAGAGGAGGGACCCCGGCGTCACACACCAGCTCCCCAAGCCCAGCCCGCGTCCCGCTGAGCCGTCTCGGCCAGGCAAGGTCTGGGACGCAGGCTGTGCCCCACCGGGCAGGTGACCTCCCTGCCGGGCCACTCCCGAGTCCGCAGTGCCGCGCACGCGCACGCACAGTGACGTGACCATCCTACATTTTTCTACGTATTTATCTGAACGGGAGACGGAGACACCCCCCCGCCCCCCCCCCCCCCCCCCGCCTGCTGGGTCACTCCCCAGACACCGCGACGGCCAGGGCCGGGCCAGGCTGGAGCCGGGAGCCAGGAGCGCCATCCGGGGCTCCCGGGCAGGTGCAGGGCCCAGGGTGCGCACGCGCGGGGCCGGTGGGCGGTGGGCGGCAGAGCCGGGACGGGCGGCACCTTCGCCGCTGCAGCCAGCGCCCACCCCCTGCCCGGCCCGGCCCTGCCGCTCCGCCTCCTCCGCCCGGCGGGCAGCGCGGGCAGCGCGGGGCCACGGGTCCTGTCGGCCTCTCCCCAGCCCCGCCCGGCGCACTGAACTTCAACGGAGCCCACCGGAAGCGCAAGACGCTGGTGGCCCCGGAGATCAACATCTCGCTGGACCAAAGCGAGGGCTCCCTGCTGTCCGACGACTTCCTGGACACACCCGACGACCTGGACATTAACGTGGACGACATCGAGACCCCCGACGAGACCGACTCGCTCGAGTTCCTGGGCAACGGCAACGAGCTGGAGTGGGAAGGTACGGGCGGGGGCGGGGGGGGGAGAACCGGTGTCGGCCAGGGCGCGGGGGGGGGGGGCCGGGGGCGTCCTGGTCTCAGCCACAGGCGCAGGGTGGGGAGGCCCAGGGGCGGGGTGGCAGGGGCACGGGGTGGTGGGGGCCGGGGGGCCACGGAGCGGCGCGGGGTTCACGAGCACCTGCCGCCAACACGCGGGTCTTCCCTGAGATCCTCGAAGGGGACCGGGGCACGCGGCCGCGGCGTTGCGAGCGCTTGCTCTGGGCGCTGGGGACACGGCCCCGCCCACGGGCGTGGGCAGCCATGACACCGAGGGCAGGGCGGAGTGTGGGTGCACCTGGCAGCGAGCGGGGGGGGGGCAGGGACACTGCTCCAATCCTAGGGAGCCCAGGACGACCTGGCCCCTGTCCACACTGCCCCGGGGGCGGAAGCTCGGGCCAGGGTAACCGAGCGGGGTCCCTGGAAAGAGTGCCCGGGCAGGCCTGGGGGGTGGCGAGGGTGGAGGGGCCGGGGAGAGGGAGGCAGGCGCGGGTCTCACAGCCCCCGTGGCCACAGCCAGGGCTCTGGCGGGAGACGCGGAGCAGGGTCGGCCAGGTCTGATGTCCACGCGTATGGGGAAATCTCCCGGTCACTGCCAGGGAGGAGCGGACGGGTGGGGGCGGGGCCCAGGGAGGAGGGGCAGGTGGGGGCGGGGCCCAGGGAGGAGCACGCGGACAGGTGGGGGCGGGTCCCAGGAGGAGTGGGCGGGGCCCAGGGAGGAGCGGGAGGGTGAGGGCGGGGCCCATGGAGGAGCGGACGGGTGGGGGCGGGGCCCAGGGAGGTGCGGGTGGGTGGGGGCGGGGCCCAGGGAGGAGCACGCGGACAGGTGGGGGCGGGTCCCAGGAGGAGTGGGCGGGGCCCAGGGAGGAGCGGGAGGGTGAGGGCGGGGCCCATGGAGGAGCGGACGGGTGGGGCGGGGCCCAGGGAGGAGCGGGAGGGTGGGGGCGGGTGGGGGCCCAGGGAGGAGTGAGTGGGCAGGTGGGGGCAGGGCCCGGGGAGGAGCGGGAGTGGGGGCAGGGCCCAGGGAGGAGTGAGTGGGCGGGTGGGGCGGGGCCAGGGAGGAGCGGGAGGGTGGGGGCGGGGCCCAGGGAGGAGTGAGTGGGCGGGTGGGGCGGGGCCCAGGGAGGAGCGGGAGGGTGGGGGCGGGGCCCAGGGAGGAGTGAGTGGGCGGGTGGGGCGGGGCCCAGGGAGGAGCGGGCGGGTGGGGGCGGGTCCCAGGGAGGAGCGGGAGGATGAGGGCGGGGCCCAGGGAGGAGCGGGAGGGTGGGGGCGGGTGGGGCCCAGGGCGGGGGCAGGAGGGACCCCGCTCCAGGATTTCGGAGAGCGGTAAACACATCCGCTCTGGCTATGGCACTCTTCCTAGGTTTTCATTTGCTTTTCTGATTTATTTGAAACGCAAAGTCAGAGAGAGCGAGCGAGCGAGCGCGCTCCCATCCGCTGGGTCACTCCCCACATGGCCACCACGGCCGGCGCTGGGCCAGGCTGGAGCCAGGAGCAGGAGCTCCATCCGGGTCTCCCACGCGGGCACTTGAGCCCTCACCGCTGCCCCCAGAGTGCGCATGCGCAGGGAGCTGGCCCCGAACCCAGTCTGACCCGGGATGCCCCTGTCTCAATCCCCGCACCAAACTCGGGTCCCGAGGTCCCCGCTGGACGCGGCCCCGGCAGAGCGAGGACGGCCCCGGCGCTCAGCGGCAGAGCGGAGCCCGAGAGCCCGAGAGGGGAGCGCCGTGTGCGGGACCCGGGGCAGGCCCAGAGGGCGCCCGCTCCCCCCATCAGATGCTGGGTCCCTCCCCAGCTCTGCTCCCGACTCCGCCCGCAGGGGTGCCGGGGTGCTCCCGGCCAGCTTGGGGAGACCGGCACGGCGCCCCCGCCCCCGCACGGCAGGCCCGGGGAGGGACCGGAAGGGAGCCGGGTCTGACTTCCATGGCACAGCGTGGACCCCAGTTCCCCCTGCTGTCAGCAACGTGGCTCTGCCGAGGGGTGGGGGACGCGGAGCAGCCCACCGTGACCCCGGCCCGCCGGCTGTTGGCGCCCGTTGAAGGGGAAGAGGCCCAGGGCCCGGTGAGCCAGGTCCTGGCAGGGCACAGGCGGCCAGGGCGGGAACGAGGGCGGCCGCGAGAGGCCGGCGCGCCCAGCCCAGGGTGCTGCTTCCAGACGACACCCCGGTGGCCACCGCCAAGAACATGCCTGGGGACAGCGCGGACCTGTTTGGGGACGGCGCGGCGGAGGACAGCGGCGCGGCCAACGGGCGCCTGTGGCGCACGGTCATCATCGGGGAGCAGGAGCACCGCATCGACCTGCACATGATCCGGCCGTACATGAAGGTGGTCACGCACGGAGGTGAGGCCCCCCCCGGGGACCGGCGGTCACCCCGGAGGTCAGACCCCCCCCGCACCCGTGGTCACCCCGGAGGTCAGACCCCTCCCCCCGGCACCCGTGGTCACCCCGGAAGTGAGGCCCGGGTACCGGCGGTCACCCCGGAGGTCAGACCCCCCCCCGGGGACCGGCGGTCACCCCGGAGGTCAGACCCCCCCCTGGGTACCGGCGGTCATCCCCGGAAGTGAGGCCCCGGGTACCGGCAGTCACCCCGGAGGTCAGGCCCCCCCGCACCCGTGGTCACCCCGGAGGTCAGACCCCTCCCCCCGGCACCCGTGGTCACCCCGGAGGTCAGACCCCCCCCGCACCCGTGGTCACCCCGGAGGTCAGACCCCCCCCCCCGGCACCCGTGGTCACCCCGGAAGTGAGGCCCGGGTACCGGCGGTCACCCCGGAGGTCAGACCCCCCCCGGGACCGGCGGTCACCCCGGAGGTCAGACCCCCCCCCTGGGTACCGGCGGTCATCCCCGAAGTGAGGCCCCGGGTACCGGCAGTCACCCCGGAGGTCAGGCCCCCCCCGCACCCGTGGTCACCCCGGAGGTCAGACCCCTCCCCCCGGACCCGTGGTCACCCCGGATGTCAGACCCCCCCCGCACCTGTGGTCACCCGGAGGTCAGACCCCCCCCCGGCACCCGTGGTCACCCCGGAAGTGAGGCCCGGGTACCGGCGGTCACCCCCGGAGGTCAGACCCCCCCACCCGGCACCCGTGGTCACCCCGGAGGTCAGACCCCCCCCACCCGGCACCCGTGGTCACCCCGGAGGTCAACACCCCCGCACCCGTGGTCACCCCGGAGGTCAGACAACCCCCGCACCCGTGGGTCACCCTGGAAGTGAGGCCTCCGGGTACCCGGTGGTCACCTCAGAGGTCGGAGCCCTCCTCCGTAGCCGTGGTCACCTCCGGAAGTGAGGCCCCTCCCCCGGGTACCGTGTGGCGTCACCCACGAGGTCGGACCGCCCCGCCGCACCCGTGGTCACCCACGGAGGCTTCATACCCCCCCCGCACGCCTACGTGGTCACCCCGGAAGTGAGGCCTTCCGTGGACCCGTGGTCACCCTCGGAGGTCGGAGCCCTCCCTCCGTAGCCGTGGTCACCCCGGAAGTGAGGCCCCTCCCCCGGGTACCGGTGCTCAACCATGGAGGTCAGACCCCCCCCCCCCCGCAACCGTGGTCACCCACGGAGGTCAGAACCCCCCCCCGCACCCGTGGTCACCCCCGGAAGTGAGGCCTCCGGGTACCCGTGGTCACCTCGGAGGTCGGAGCCCTCCCTCCGTAGCCGTGGTCACCCCGGAAGTGAGGACCCTCCCCGGGTACCGTGCTCACCCATGGAGGTCAGACCCCCCCCCCCGCACCCGTGGTCACCCCGGAGGTCGGACGGGACCCCCTGCCGGGCCCGGCAGCCCTCGGTGCCCCGCCGCGGGCGGAGGGTGGAGCCTGCGTGGCTCGGCTCGGCGACGGCCGCCCCCCGCCGCTCTCACGCAGGCTACTACGGCGAGGGCCTCAACGCCATCATCGTGTTCGCCGCCTGCTTCCTCCCGACAGCAGCTGCGCGGACTACCACTACGTCATGGAGAAACCTCTTCCTGTGAGCGGGGGCGGGGCCGGGCGGGGAAGGAGGGGCCGGCATGCGGGGCGGGGCCAGGAAGGCGGGGCCGGCATCGGTGGGGCGGGGCCAGAGCGGCCGGGGGGCGGGGCCAGGCGGGGAAGGAGGGCCGACATGTGGGGCGGGGCCAGGGAGGCGGGGCCGGGCGCGAGGAAGGAGGGGCCGACGTGTGGGGCGGGGCCAGAGGGACAGGTGGGGCGGGGCCGGGCGCGAGGACACGCTCACCCAGACTCTCCCCTGCTGGCCCCACTCCCGCGGCTGGGCCTTCCCCCTGGACCCCCGGGGCCGCCGCCCCCACACACGTCCATCACCCACACCATCATCACCTTCATCACCGCCGACACTGCGCTGCCACCCTGATCCCAGCCCACCCCCAAGACCTGCCCGGCGGGGGCCGAGGGGCTGGAACACGGCCCCCTCCCCAGAGCCCGCGCCCCTCCCCAGAGTCCCCGCCCCTCTCCAGAGCCCCGGATCCTCTCCTCGGAGCCCCCCCACCCCCCCTCAGGACCCCCGCCCCTCCTCAGAAACCCCGCCCCTCCCCAGAGCCCGCGCCCCCTCAGGCCCCCCGCCCCTTCCGAGCCCCGCGCCCCCTCCCCAGACCCCCGCCCCTCCTCAGAGCCCCACGCCCCCCCTCAGGACCCCCCCCCTCCCCAGAGCCGCGCCCCCTCCCCAGAGCCCCCGGCCCCCCGTCCGAGCCGCCCTCCTCAGACCCCCAGCCCCTCCCCAGAGCCGCGCCCCCTCCTCAGGACCCCCGCCCCCTCCCAGAGCCCCCGCCCCCTCAGGACCCCCCGCCCCCTCCCCCAGAGCCCCCCGCCCCCTCCTCAGTACCCCGCCCCCTCCCAGAGCCCCCGCCCCCTCAGGACCCCCGCCCCCTCCCAGAGCCCACGCCCCCCTCAGGACCCCCGCCCCTCCCCAGAGCCGCGCC